CTACTTAGTATTCATGTAACGTGAAAATTTATAATCAAGCAAAACAATGTCAAACTTTCTATTAATTTATGTCTTTAGGTTAGAACAGTTTCTACTTGGCAATCCCTTATACGTTAATTTTAGATGTGTGTTTAATTGGTTATAAAAAGCTTTTGATGAAAATATATGGAGATAACGAACAATATTTAAACTCTATATTCCATGAAACAATACCAAAATAGGAGCAGAGGAAATATGGACCTCCAAAACATCAGAGATAGGATCAGGTACCATGAAGGAGTAAGCATCCCCTGCCGACCGGTCACAACCGCTGTGTGCTCCTTGTCATGAGCGGGAAATAACCAAATAATCCATCGTCAATTCAGTGTGTAAATCATGGACTAACAATTAGTATAAAACATCAGTCAGCATTTGATTCAATGATAAAAATTGTATTTGCTGGCAATTAAGACCATTGTAACGACCACAGAACTCATGAAATGATGACTTTAAACAAGACTGCTGATATTTTTGTTTCAACTTTTAAATCAATAATTTCCCTCGTTAAAGAAATTGTACATACGTAGAGCATGTTCTTGCGTATCGAATCAGAAATTGTACATACGTAGAGCATGTTCTTGCGTATCGAATCAGATATATAAACTCCGTATGCAGGTGATGAAGGTATATTGCTCTAGAAGTAAGGGAAGTTGACGATTGAAAAAATAAAGTCATCACTTTTTATCATAGAGCTTGGTTGTTAGAATACCATTAACGTCTTTTTCGAATAAAATATCCAAATATGAAAGAGATATGTCAGACTCTGTGCATGGTATCTTTTATCTCAAACTCACCGGGATATATCTTATCGACATAAAAATGGAAATAACCATTGTTAATTGACAATATGTCGACGATATATTTAAATTGTTGGTTTAGTATTAGTACTATTCAGGTTATATGGTTTCTGAAAAAAAACTCAAATATGAAGTTTTTGATTTTTTTTTGGGGGGGGGGGATTTATGTTAATACTGGTATTTTATTGATATGTTTATATTTTTTATTTTGTCCAACATCTCATTTATGTTTGTGTTTTAAAAAATTATCAAATTAATTATATATTCTATCATGATTTATTATTTAGATACGAGAACGGGAAATATTCTGTATTTATATATCTTTACTTCCTTATTTCTTATTTAGAAGTCAGTTTGTTTGCAGGTGTATAATGCATTCTTAATTCCAATTCTTTAAAATATCTGGTTTTTTCACTACTTTTTTTGCTTATTTTATATCTTTGTTCATTAGAAGTAGTATTTTATACTCAAATGTTAAAATCAAATAATTAATGTCTGTCAAGATAACTACAAATTGTGTGTAATGAACCATAGTTTGATGTTTTTATTACTTTTGGAAATCTGAACGTGAGATTAAATTGGCATAAATTTACAGATAGTAAAATTTACTGCATAAACAAAAACACAAAGCTTTGTCTTTTTTATTTAACAACAAATAGTTCCTCAAATAACAAAATGAAGTTATAGAGGTTTCCACCACCTGTATCAAAGGTACCATTTACGCACTTATCACCATTTCAACGAAGAAATAGCACAAATACCCATAACAAAGCTTTCATTTGTCATGTTAGTTCTATAACTTAATCCATATACTAAGTATCTTATTTAAACAAATAAACAAGATGATTACCTGTTTACCACTGAAAAGGTTTTAAAAATATCGAACAATGATTAATATCATTAATAACACTGATATCAGGAAGAAACATGGAGCCCTGAAAAACAACCAAGTTTAAATCAGGGGCAATAGCAGGAGTAACCATCCCCTGTGGACCAGTCACACCCGTCACACACTTGTCATCAGACCTCTGTCTTGATTAGATAAACGGGAAATCCGTGTTCAAAATTACTAACAATGGGTATGAATCCTGTCAGTCAAAAAAAAAACAAAACAAAACAAAAAAACAACGGAACAATAAGATGCACGCGCGTTTGCAAAGATCTAACATTACTAATAACTAATTAGTAATAATTGTGTGTTTAATTATTTTTTTGTATATTTACTCACTAATCGTCTATATTAAAATATTATCGTACAAGTTTGTCGTTGTGGACTTTATCAAGAAAATTAAGCACTTGTCCACGAACTCTTTGGACAACCCTCGTAATAATATTTAAAACATTAGACTTGATTGGTTTATTTATTTAAGGAGGTTGGCGCCTGTTATCAAAAGTAGTGAGAATTTTTTGTCAAGTAAATTTTTAGACTCTACACACATAACTAAATAAAAAAATCAAAGTGTGCGCTTCTTCTAGCACTACGTAGCAATTAAGGTGACCTTTTTGCACTTTAATTTTCTCTAACACATAATTCAATTTTTGGAAGTTTTCCTTTAATATTTTTTACCAAAATGAATTACTGGATCAAACGTAGTCTTTTTTCATCTTAAATAGTCACATTAAAAATGGTGACAACAAAAATAGTTTCAAATTACTTTTCATAGTCAATTATTTGACCTTTCTGCACTCAAAAATGTAATTTTTCTGTAGAAAGCAATGAAATCATTTGAAAATAATGACATTTTTTAATTTAAGCAGATGGTCAAAATTATCTTATATATATCCATCCCCACTCCCCCCCCCCCCTCTTTCCCATCTCTCTCGCCTCTCTTTATGTTTTTGTTCAATTTACTTCAGAAATTCAAATAAAAAGTGGAGTATATGATGCTAATGTTTAGATATTATTAAAATAGCGCTGATTTTAAGCTTAAATTGTGCTATTTTTTCAACGACTTTCATGATTTATTATATATTTTCCAAATATGATGATAGAACCCATAACAGTTAATTCAATATATAATTTAGGACCAGCTTAGAACATTTCACTGCACAAAATTACTCTGTGTGCAGCCTGTATGTAAAAAATAGGAATCCAAACCTAACAATTCTGAAAACTTCGAAAGATAAAAAATTGATTTTTTTTCTTCTAAAAAGCCTTCCGCCACAAAATATAGTTCCTCACTAAATGTTTTCTGTATGGAATTTAACCATGGGATCTTAATTGAATATAGTTTAATTAACATTATAGACTTCAAGTTTATTGTAAGAATTTAAATGTTATGTAGATTTTTTTTATATAAAGACCAAGACAAAAATCAGCTGAAAAGCTGAGGAGTAAACCTCTTTACTAAAATCACAAGGAATTATCACTAAGAATGTATTTTATATATATATATATATATATATATATATATGTGACTGTAATTGTTACTACACGTAACTTATTTAAAAAATGGAAACCAGATGAGACAAGGTTGATTCGACGCTAAAAACGGGCTGCTGAATCAAAACCACTGCTAAATAGTTGTCTTTAGTAAAGAAATTTGACATCATAGACAAATGTTTCTTCAATTATTGTTGGTCAAATTAAAGTGAATACTTTGATGAGAATCATCTGATTTTACGCACATATACTGAAGCCAATTTAAAACGAGAGATCCTCAATGACAATCTCAGTGTGTAGCTTTTGAAACCAACTCTTGCGTTTTCAAACTTCTGTGATTCGCCTTTTTCACGTTTCCATTTGTTAACGGTATTAATTAGATTGGTCGCGAAAAGTTATCTTCCATCTTTTTCAAGTAATTCTGCTTGATAAAATAAAACTAACAGAAAATGCTTTCATGACTTTTTATCTGTGAGCATTTTTTGACATTGCATTCTTAATAATTCCTTTAAATGCTTAGTTTCAAAGTTAAAGGTGTTTTGAGTGTTTTCACATAAAAATAATCTATTCTTTTATTGAAATTCAATAGATTTTTAATAGCAAACACATGTACGAGTACACTACAATCAATTTAAGCCAATTTCGAAACGATGCATATCTCTTTTATTCTCTTTAATCATTGTCTTTCAATGACAGAATTTATTATTCCTTTGCATTTTTTGTAGAAAATGATGTTTTGCGGGAAGAGAGTAATCTGATACAGTCAATTTTATATGTCATAAAAAGGTACAAGTTAAGATGTAATTCGACTTATCATGTGATTTATACGGAAGTGTGGAAATCTAACTTGAAGTCGATCACGGATGTTATATTACTACGTCAGAATTCATTCTGACGTTTGAATTCTGACGTAAGAAAATAAAATGGGCTGTTTATTTGATTCAAGAAGAAACAAGTCATGTTTATGTTGTCAAAAGCAAATAAATAATTCATAAATTATTTAAGAAATGAGTTTTTGTCAGAATCCTACAGAAGACATGCAGGTCTGTTGTGCGTTTTAACACGTGGTCAGTCAGGCGTGGGTGTCCCAGATGGACGGTGAGGCCACAAAATACATAAAATCTTAATCAAACTGACAACTGTGGTTCAGAAAAGCGTCCTAAATTGACAGGTGGCGAAAAAGGAATTTTATCCCTACGTGTCCTTATGAACCAACAAGATACATAAGTCGGATACAGGGCATTTTTTCTGTTGAGACAGCAATAAAATTAAGTGAGGACTGCAGACATTACCTTAACATTTCTAAGAAAAGACGAGTTTAACTATTTAATGTTCTACAAAAACATTTCTTTTCAGTTTTCCTGTTAAACGTTCGTTCAACCGGAAATGTAGCAAAAATCCTTCAAATGGACAACAGCTAAATGTAAAACCAAAAAAGATGACGGCTTAATGGCATAAAATAATTTTCTGTTTTCTAGGCTTTTAACCTGTTGATTTTTTTTCATTTTTGTTATTTCTTGTAGTTATTAAACCCATTATATCTTGTAGGAATCATTTTTCAAGAAATAAACATAAATTGCTAAGTTTCACAATGTGGAACAAGTCTTGGATATTTAAAAAGACAATTCTTTGCTATCTACATAACGACCCTTTTTTCTAAAAATATCAATGCAACCTAAAATGAATCAGTGCAAAGTACTGCAATGCCAGTGAAGCTACTTACCCATATATTAATGTTTCTGATGTTATAACGTAAATGTACCGGAAGACTCTGTACTCACCCTTTCTGTTTCCGGTACTGTCTTCCGGACCGACTATGATCCTGTACCCGGCAGGTTCTATGGCGTTTCTGGCCTCCACTCCCCTGTGACCGGGTATCATTTCTACATTTCTTGTTTGTAAATTTTCATACTGACAAAAATCCTCCGGGGCACCATAGCTGAATCCTTTGACGGCACCAAATAAATTGAACACGACAATTAAAGAGACAAAGTCCATTCTGGGTTTAAATCGGTAGAGTCACAAGTAAATGCAGGGTGGGATAAACTAAGTATCTTTTTTTTCAAAGAAAGATTTCCGCTTTTTCTCTCGATGTGACAGGTGCCCGGGGGAACTTCTATACCTATATATTGCCTGTCGAAATTATTTTATCTGCTGACCGTTTGACAAACTGTCTACAATATGTTAAATCTATGCACGTCAGTCTGCAAACAACAAATTTCGCCTGAGATGAAAACCGCACGTGCGCACAAGGCCACTAATAAATATGCCTTGAAGGTTTCTCTTTATTTTAAAATACAATTCCTATAATATTCTTTATATTTGAATAAACCCATCCTAGTATTATTGTGTAATGCACATCCTGTTCTCTTGTTTATTAATTTAGTTCCTTTTAATTAGAGGTGGACATATTATTCATAATAATTTATACATTGAACTTAACATAAAATTAAGATAATTAGATGATGTTGCATTTTAACAATATTCATTTATTTGTCTGGGATTATTTTATTAAGTTAATCAACTTTTTAAATTAAGTATCGATTTTTCAATTTTAAAATAAATTAAAAGGATACAGATCGTATCTTGGTATGAGTTATGTCTATTAAAAATACTTCAGAGTTTATTTCTCTATGCTAGAAAAAATAAAACTGCTTTTATTCCTACTTTATTATTAATTTCTATTAATCCAACAATAATATATAAACTTCTTTCACCATAAAAAAAGGTTTTAAACAAAACGAAGAACATGTTAAGAATGTTAAGAATACATGAATTGGAATTCCTAATTATGTACTAGAGTGCAGATGGCAATAGATTGTATTTTATATCAAATGGTGGATTAAGATTTCTTACTACAAAGGTGTCCTGAAAAAGAAGTGTTGTGAAAACATGAAAGATGTCAAAAGCTTGTTTCAATGTCTGAACAGAAAGCAAAGAGAAAGATATTTAATTCCCCTTTGGTTGACCTTTGTGTTTAGAACCAGAATCATGTTTAGTAAGACATGTTCGAGTATTTGATGATTCATTACACAACTAAATTAATATACTTAATGTTTTGATTAAAAAAATGAACATATAAAACAACAAAATCATGGAGGTATATCAAGTTTATTTCCACGAAAGGAATACCGATCAATTAATGATATGCCAGTATTTAAAGGCATTACATATTTTTTCCTGGAATGTTTCATCTTACATCAAAAAGTAATTTCATCAGAGAACCATCCTGACCCTCCGGACAAGCACAGATACACAGTACTGCTGGACAAGACGGTTTTCCATCGCTGCATTCCATTTCACAGATCATTTTCATGATGGAAACTGATCCATAGATAGTCGGCTCATTTGTTGTAAATTTGCTTTTGCAGACCTGTTTTTCTGGCGGGCAGTTTTTGCTGTAAGGGGATTTCTTCGTTTCTCTTTCAATTACTACCCCTGGCTCCCTGTCAAATTCTAGTTCTGGGTTAGCTAGGTCCCCTCTGGAGGGTTTTGAGTAAGTCGTTGTCAAAGTAGTATTCGTCGTAAAGGAGTGACCTTGGGGCATTTCAAAGAATCCAGAGTTTTGATTGCCTTGGAAAGTGTAATAATTCCTCTGCTGATTCCCAACCTGGTTCGGGAAATTTTGATTCATGATAGCATTTGTTCTAAATCCATCCTGTCCTTGAATTACACCACCGAGATTACCCTGACCTTGAGTAATACCGCTGAAACCACTTTGACCTTGCATTACACCACCAAGACCACCTTGACCAGCATCAGTTAAAATACCTTGACCGCCAAGTCCTCCATCTATAATGCCTTGTCTCTGCATCGCATGATACTGTAAATGCATTTGCGTTATCTGATCAGGAGTAAAGTGTGGAAAGACTCGAATCAGACGACGACGTTCTACCATTAAGGGTATTAGGACTTGCATTACGCGGTTTTCTGGAATTAAATGGAGAATTTGTGGATCCGACAAAACGGGGATAAGAGGAATGATTTGTTGCATCTGTGCATCATTTATTTGCATTCCAGTCAAAACAGGGGACAACCCAGCGATAGGGACGGGGTTCATTGGGGCACCTGCTGTAGGAATTCCGGCGACACCTGTCAGACCTCCAGCAGCCAAAGGAGCATTAACAAGAACTCTGTGTTCGGCTGCGGCAGGATTTATGCCAACACCGCCATTAACCATCATTCCAGGTTGTGCAACGAGTAGTGTGTTTTGCTGATTTTGTTCATAGCGATCATAAAGCATTCCACCCAAACCTAACATAAGACCACTCGGGATCAGCAGTTCTAGAAGACCAATGGCTAGTCCACCAACCCCTTTCTTGTATTTTTTCTTATCCACAGTTGGACTTTTGGTCGTTTCCGGGGTTTTCTCTGATTTGATAAGTATATTTGGGGGTATTGTTGGTCTTGTTTGTGGTATCAGTCGTCTTCTTAAATAAGGCCTTTTCGGCCTAGGAATTATAGGACGCGCAGGCGTAGGCTTGTTTTTTGGCGGGGTCGTGGCTACTTCCTTCCTATCTATAATTAGTTTAGGTGTCGTTGTCTGGACAGTAGGATGGTGCTTATCTTCTTAAAGAAAAAAGAGCACAAAATTTAATGAAAAAACAAGTAACCCTGAAAAAATAAGAAGAAAACATCTTTTGAATGAATTATCAATTTTTTCTTATGATTACCTTTGTGTGTCATAGTATCATATTTAGAAGTGAAATCAGGCCAAGCAAAATTTGTCGGAATCTGTGAAGATTCAGGAATAATCGAAATATCAGCACAATTTACAAGGGTCGTCTGTGGGCCAAGACCTTTACCACAAATCCGTGTTCCTTCAATAACTTCACAACCCTCGTCAACGTCTGCAAGGCAAGTAAAGTTTGTGTAGAACTGTGTTTCGAAATATTCTTGATTTATTCAGCTTTCAAGAAAGGAAGTTTAAGATATATATTCATTTAGAAACAAAGAACTGATTCATGACAATCTTAAAATATGATGCATACGTACTTGTAACCCACGTCCACTGCATTGTGCAAAGTTTGCATGAGAATCCAGTAGGCAGTTGTAAAGGTACCACTATGTCATTAGAAGCGTTAACCTTCGGAACATATATTTTTTTAACATTGGGAGAATTAGCCAAACTCAGAACTGTCTCATCAAAGCAACTTTGTGTTTCCTCTAAGGCATTTTTCGGGTTGCAGAGCTTGAAAATGTAGTATCCACCATTGCCGTTTTCGGATACCTCAATAGTAACATTAATGACCGAGCCTTCCCGATAGAGGTAAGTTGGTTGTCGATTGGCGGCATATTTTCCGTTCGGAATTTCATTGTGTCTCGGTGCATTATAGAAGTCTCCACATACACCACATCTTCCCTCCAAGTCACCATGCAATATCTGAGAAAATAAATAAAGTTGTGGGTAATATGGTGTACATGTAGAAGCAGAGTTGTGGATGAACTAGTATACTGTCTAGCGGTACATATAGCAGCGGTTTCTAGATAGGAGGTGCTGGAGAGAGTCTTGGAGAACCCTCCCTCTGTGTAAGAACATCATTATAAATAAATAGGTATATAATTATGGTTGGGTTGTAATGTATTTTTATGTCTGTTATTTTCACATGTTTTATTAATAAAATCTATAGCATCTTTAATTGTCTCACTCAATGCGTCCCTATTCCGACGGTCTCAGTAAATTTCAGATACCGTGAAAATCTGCAGTTTAAAACCACAAAAGAGGTAATATTGGCTATATCTTGATCCATGATTACTGTAGTATTGCATTACAATAAAATTTTATGGACTTTTTAGTTTGGTGTTCAAAGTTTATTTATATTGATATGCACTTTTTAAAATAAGAAATACATATATATCAGTATGATGTCTTGAAGGAAATAAAACCGTCAGAAAATGCAACTTGGACTCCTGATTTTATTATAACATGTAGATTAGGTATTATTCCTGACAACTTTCACAGTTATGGATGTTTTCTGTCAGAAAAGAAGAAAATGTGAAATGGTTGTACATCAGAAATGTCGTACATTGTTAAAAAAATGACAACAGAAGCCGTTGCACTTGTCTTATCTACTCAGTGATGAATTACTAGTATACATACTTTTGAAGACTTTAACTATTAAAGTACATATGTATAGTATTTGTTTTACATTTTCTATTGATGTGATCTGTGATTTACCTATTACTATGTTTGTTACAATAAAACTTTCTCTTAAAAGTATATTGACCAAGATTTTCTGAATAAGTGTCCAAAAGTACCTAATATTTACATGTACACGTACATATTATTTAAGGATAAATAACACAAACAAACTGTTTTCAGAAATCAGTTATATTTCTCATAGATTTACATTTAAGGTAGTCCGATCCTCAGGTTTATAAAATTAGCAGTTAAGTACATAAAAGTATCTCTGAATCCACAAAGATACAGTTTTATGTAAATTTATCCACAGTATTTCTTGTAAAGTAAAAGATTAACGTTAATCATATTATATAGGGAAAATTGTCAAATCTTTTTGCAGTAAAAGCGAATTGAAATATCAGCAATGCATTTTCTAATTGCAAATTGATCAACAAATATATTTCAGGTTAAAAAACAATACTTAGTAGGTATCCAGGCATTCAGAGAAATTGTCATGAATTTTATACTTTTTTGTCTTCTATTTCCATCATGTATTCTATAATACATAGTGTAAAAGGCTTTTGCTATCATTGCAAGACACCACAAATCACTTCTTATTTCTTATCATGCTAATAAGCATTGGTATCTAAGGCTGGATTCAAGAAAATTTTATTTCTCTAAAACTGTATTAATTTTTTTCCTTTTATAGATACAAAAAAATGTCAATTTTTATAAGACCTTTTCTATGACTTCCAAAAACCTTGAATCTTAAAAAGATGAAGAAAATGATAATTGTTGCATGAAAAAAAAATCATTTTGAAGCTTCATTTTGATGCATTTCAAATTAAATATTAATTTTTGGAGTTATCCTTCCTGGCTGAGGATCGGATATCCTTAAATCGGTAACCTGAATAATGTTCACCAGTATAGTGGAAGATTTATAAGATTTCGTCATAATGTTAAATATTTGTGCAGAATTTTATACGGGGATATACTAGTATAGAAAGCAAAACAAAGTCTCATCTCTAAGCACCAAGGAAAACCTCAAAATAATATATATATCACACTTATATTATATGTCATTAACGATTTATAATGTATGTATGTCATTTCAAATCAAAATCAGTCCAAAAATATATCAACCCATGCATCATTTTTTGTTTGTGTTGAGTACCCTTAAAAATGCAAGACAGTTCACAGATCAGCTGTTATGCATGATGGTCTCAGAGATTTTTCATAGATCCGAGGCGTATATTGTTTTTGTCCTGTCTGTTTGTCTGTCTGTCTGTCTGTCTGTCTGCTGTCAATTTTAACCTTCACCATAAATTTTGAACCATCTGAGAGATAGAGACTTCATATTTGGTATGCATACTCCACTTATTACTAGTAATTTTTATTTTCAAATGACACCAAGGTCTATGACCTAGTGACTTGACTGTGACCTATATGCTAAAATATATATATATATATATATATATATATATATATATATATATATATATATATATATATATATATATATATATATATATATATATATATAAAGCAAAACTTTTTACCATTTCATTATATTTCAGAACTTTCGACATAACTTTTGAACCATAGGAGATAGAGACTTCATATTTGGTATGCATACTGCACCAATTAAGTTCTTTCAAATGACACCAAGGTCAATGACCTTGTGCCTAGGCTGTGACCTGTATGCTAAAAATAGCTTTTTCGAACTTTCATCATAACTTTTGAACCATATGAGATACAGACTTCATATTTGGTATGCATACTCCACTTTTTCCTCTGATATTGTTAATCATGAGCTTGAAAGCAAAACGTGTATATGAATTGTTTGAATGGAAAGAATGTACATAAAATATACTTTTTCTCATACTTTCTTTGTTATTAATGATTACTAAGTATCATTGCAAAGGCAAACAAAGGTGCCAACACAATAAATTTCAATGATTTGGTGTCAAGCAGCTAAGATTCATTATTCTCATCACAATATTGAATCTTAGCATTTTTGCAAGAAAATCTACAGGGGGGATTTATTTAAGTCGAAACATTATTTACTGAAGGTGATTTCCAATTTCTTCAATATAGAGCTTTAAATCTAATTTGAAAGCAACCATGGAATCTTTAGCAAAACTAGTAATACCGATATTAAGACATCTCGCTACTTGACAGCATTAATTGTAGATGGGGATATTTTTGAAGACTTGTACATATGTAAGTTAATTTTAGTTGACTTACAAGATGGAATATCTCATTATACATGTAATTTATTAAAAGAATTGAAATGACTCAAATGAGCAGCAGTTTGAGACTGAATTTTCTAATCAGGTATATTTCAATGGATACATGTGTGTCATTATATTGGGGAATTTTGGCAACACATGAAATCATGTACCCGGTAATTGCGGTATGCACAAAACTCTCCAACCTTGTCTACTTATATTGATGGATGGGTACCCCCCGAGGGTGTCTAACTAATTAACACTACGCGTATACTTCATCGTGAGTTATAGTCTCTACTACACCATAGATCTTCTCCAAAAGATCGCACGATTTTCTGCCATTATGGAAGTAACCCTTCCATAATAAAATTATTTAGATAACTTGGTGCTTATGTCATTATTACAAATAAGAATATAATTCTAGATTCTGATTGTGGATTAAAATTAAATATATCGTATATTTAATGTCAATAAAATATACAAAAATAATTCATGAATTGCAAAGAATTTTAATTCATAGACTTGTTGCCAACAAGAGAATACAAAGACGTTTATACAGAGCCCAATCAACTAGTATATACCGGTATAACCTAACTCAGCCATGTTCCTATAGACATACATATATACAAGTATTTGATTTTTCGGATCAATATCCAGATTTTTAAAAAAAAAAATTTATTATTATCATTAATGAACATTTTACAGTGATTTAAACTCTCTTCAATAAAGCATTGCTTATTATTCGAAAACTTGTTTAATTACTAAAGGAAATTGGGGACTATTCTGTCCATTTGAAGAAACCCAACCGTTACCTTGACGTTTCCACAGTTCAGAGAATCGTAATCTGTGTTTGGTTCTGGCACCGTGGTCCATATATCGGCAAAGTACATAAAGGTAGCGGCACGTGCGGTGGGACATTTCAAAAACGCTCTCGGTCCAGTGTCCTGAGTTTCTACCCTGACAAATATGACCAGGACGAAAAGAACACAAAAAGTTAATTCCTTCATTTGGAACATCATTATTAAGTTCTCAGAAGCAACCACTATACCATTTTTAACTCATGGTCTATCATTATCGGGTTATTGTGACATTCACCCTTTTCCGGTGAAACAATCTGACGACAATTTTTTTTCGTCATTCAGTTGTGATATGTCGTATTATTGGTTCATTATTATGAGTTCATAGGTTAATGATTTTCTATAGGTTAAATTATGTATGATATATAAAATAATTGTCGCCTTCCCTTCTGTGCAACAACAATTTAACAAGTAGTGCTGTATAACTTATTACGGTTGTATTCAGTGTTTGGTGTGGCATTTACTTTGTGGTGATGATAAATTCTATGAATTCTTTATGAAACCAATGAAAATTAGATTTTGAAGTAAGATAAACAACAGTAAAACGATTTATTCGAATGACATTGTTTGTAACACACTTGTGAAGCATCGCTTGTACATGTACATGTATATTCCAAATTACACGAGGGTAAAAGAACATGAATTAATGGTTCGATATAAAATTTACAATCCCTCTTGTCCTTTTTGATTTTTTTTTTCCTTGAATAATGGATAATACAAGAACACAAAACAAATCCATCTATATGTCTGTTCATCCCTATATAAGAATCAAGGAGAGGGAGATATTAACAGTATGGAAGTATAGAACCCAACACCAGATTTTTGGCACTCGCTGTATGGGGCTCAGTATCTACAACTACAAACAATCATTCCACAATCGTTTTATAACAAAGAAATCTTATTATACAAACATTTCACTGATGGTAAATATGTTTAAATATAGTCCTCAAAATATTAATACACTTTTCGCATTTAATTTTTTTTCTTACTCCATAGTGACTTTAAACGCAACAAACTGACACTTGGAGTGACAGAATTACTCCATTTTGTTAACAACTTCATTAGAATTAACAAGAAAATATGTATTTTGTGAGTTTAAGGACCTCTATAAATACGTCAAAAAATATCAGTACAAAACTGAGAAAAAATTCCATGTCGCATTGCATTAACTTCTTTTGCTGCAGTATTAATAAAATTTGCTCATTATTTTCCAAACAGACTTGCAGCGGCTATTCTGGCCTGCATATTTAATTTGCCTGCTGGCTCTTCTTTGCACGTGCACGAGCACATCTCTGCTGGACAGTTAGGATTACGTGCAGAGCAGTGCAGATCGCATATCATACTGACTATATCAACAGCCCCGTATACCGTGGGTTCATTTGCTCCATATCTTGGTTTGCATGTTTGTTGTGAGATTGGGCACTTTTTACTGTAAGCTGATATATCAAATTTATGTGGCTGATTTTCTATAACTTCCTTTGTTTTAACTTTATTGACTTCCGGTTCTTCGTCATATTGCATCCTGGTAAAGGCGTGGTTGCTGGGAAGCTGGAAAAACTGCTCATCTCCTCTGTTTGGACGACTGTTGCCGTATGACGTTGGTTTATAATTTTGTTGATATTGTACATTATAACCGTAGCCTCCTCCATTAACACCGTAGCCCGGATTTACAATGCCCATACGATAATTCTTCCCTCTGTTTCCATAGCCTCTATAATTGTTGCTACCGTAACTTGTTCCTTGTTTACCGTAACCTTTCCCGTATCCCTTCTTCTTGACTGGAACAGGCTCCTCCACCATTGGGACAACAACAGGAGCAGGCAGCATGGTGTAACCGAATGACGGGACGTATGGTGGGGAGAACATTGGCTGTACTGGCTGGGAAATCATAGGCATAGACACAGGTGGAATATCTATATATTCAACGTTTCCTCTGTTTTCTCTTCCATTCATCGACATTAAAAGCATCAGTCCCCCAAGACCAAGTCCCAGAGGCGCTATCATACTTCCCAATGATAAACCACCCAAAATTCCGGAACCCCCAGCAGCAACTGGAGCCACTGGTAATGGAGCAATGGGTGGAATAATGGGGCCGGGAATCAGTTTTTCTGTGGACTGTGGTAGTGGTGGTGTGGTAGTTAGAGATGATGGCGGCCCGGTGGTTTGCTGAGGGTTTGGTGTGGTGTTGATTGGTGTTGGTGTTACGATGATGAGTTTGTCAGTGGTGGTTGGAGGAGCACCGGTGGTTGTGGCGGGGGCTGGGCTTGTACTTGGTGGATTTGTGATGATCGGGAATGGAGTAGTGGTGGCGGGCCCTGCTGGAGTTGTTACTGGAGTAGTTGTAGGGATGACGATAACAGGGTTAGATGTAGTTTGAGCTGGTGCTGTTAGGAGAAACAAACAGTAGAATATTACAATTTTGTTATTTTTCGTTGATTTATATGTCAATTTTATAAGTGAGGAACCCATCATGGTCATTTACAAGGGCACTGCAAACCTTTTACGATATATTTACCTGGCGTGGTCCCCGACCCAGTGTGTCCTCCGTGAATGGTGGCGTATACAGAGTTGTAATCCGGCCAGTGGAAATCCGCCGGAACAGCTGCACTCTGGGAAAGAATTGTGAAATCGGCACAATTTACAAAGGTGGGCTGCATGCCGTATCCCATACCACAAACTAACTGACCATTCATACTACCACATCTCCAGTCTCTAGCTGGAAAAGAGGGGGGGAAACTATCATTAAGTTTCAATGCAAAAACGTAGTAGACTTCTACACTGGAATTAAATTCCGAAATATAACTGTCAATTACGTATTTGGTTACCTGTCACCCACGTCCACTGCATGACGCAGTAATCACATGTCAGTCCTGCTGGTAACTGGAGCGGAACAACGATATCCCCGTCCATATCCGGTATCTGTATGATGGTTTGATCCGCCGTATTGGCGAGTTTCAGGGGATTCTGGTCAAAGCAGGCCTGAGAAGCCGCAGTAGAGGAATCTGTTTTGCAAAGTTTGAATTTGAAAAAGCCGCCATTGGCACGTGCTGTGACCTGCACCGTGACGTTTATTACACCCCCTTCCCGGTAGATGTAGGTGGACCTTTTGGAAGCGTACTGTCCGTTAGGGGCCTCGTTTGGTCTTGATCCCCCGACGTAATCCCCACATCGACCACATTTTCCCGTCAGGTCTCCATCAGTCTGAAAGGAAAAATGTATATTTGAATAGCTTCAACTTATAAGCAGTTTCTGGAAATAGTGAAAGAGGAAAGGGGTCCAAGGACTTCGATAAACCTGAAAAATACAGAGTATTAAACAGACCTGTTTACTCTTACGATTTCAAACTTTTTAGAAGAATATAAGGAATATTAATGTTGTTTTTTTGTAATGAAAATATTTCAAACATATGGGAATATTTATGAAATAACAAAGACCTTGTTGTTATACCTTGTTTTGTGATCTTTTAATATATGTAAAATTGATAAAGTGATCTTACTGGCAAATGCCAATTCCTCTAATGTCCCAGCGTTATAATTAAAGGTTTTCAATATATGAGAGAAACTTACCTGATAATCCTTGTCCCATATTTTAAGAGATATATATACATATACATGTACCACCAATTCTATTTTAAGTTAACTTTTTAAAGCATCACACTGAGAAACATTCCATGGGTCATATAATTAAACCTTGGTTGATACAATGAACTGAACCACTGACCCAAAATTTCTTTTACACTTATGTGACAAGAAGAAATTATGAGATACAGTAAAACTCGATTATAACGAAGTCATTTGGGACCTATGAAATAACTTCGCTATATTTGTAATTTGTTATATCCATATAAGGAATTCATTAAATTTATACTGCTGGGGATCAAAGAAAAGTTTGTTATATCGTGAATTCGCAATATCCATGTTCGTACAAAACGAATTTTACTGTATCTTACAACAACTGAATGTTAATTTATTGAAATCTTCGATAAAACTTAATTTAAAGGAGATGGAAGAACAAGGCGTGCAAAATGCCTTTTGTTTCATATATATAAAAGACGTATTCATTTTTAATTTAGTTTTTAAGAGTTGTTTTAATAATAACAAGGTAGGAAATATGATAAGCTGGTCTTTTTTACGGAGAATTCGCTTCACTTATAAACCAATAAGGTGTTATTCTTATGATAAGCAATAAAAATCCATTTTTAAATATAATTTTTCTAACAAGCTATATGCATACGTTAAGTACATGTATATTCTTTTCAAAAGAAATGGAGCGAAGGCCCAATCATATTTGAAAATCATGATATTATATAAATAATATTTGCCCTCATTGGTATATACATCCTATTTCATGGACGAAATTTTTCATTCTTTGTGAGATTGTTGCAGTTTGTGGAGGTTTTATAAACAGTATACGTTTATATTATGATAAGTTAAAAAAATGTCATTTTTGAGATACATTTTTTCTATGGTTTGTTAATCAAGTATATAGGCATTTTTCTCGCCATGTTTGCACATCTGAAATATAATGGAACATAAAAACGTATTTTATAATTAAAGTATTTAGTAAATACTATTTACAGTTGTACATGTATTAATTGATATCGAATGATTCTTTTGCTAATCTATCAAATCTCTCAATCGTCACCAGTTTAAATAAAATTTAGTAAATATGAAATCTTACCTACAATAACTTAAAACTGAATTAGGCTATTATTTAAAAAAAAAAAATCATTTTTATCTATATAATATTTTTGCTTTTGATATCAATCCACATAAAAAACAATTGATTGCCGGTGTACGGAATGCTTACATAAGTCCCTCCACAATTCAGTGACATATCCTCCGTATTCTGAGTGAGTGTGTCCCCCCAAGGTGCCTCCCCGAAATATCGCCACACTGATGAACGGCTGGTGGGGGACTTTAGAAATCCATTCCCCAACACAAAAGGCGCGAACCACGCAAAACAAACAAATAGTCCAATAGAAAATTTCATTATCTTCCACAGCATATTATAACACAATAAATCATCCAATCATATTTTTTATAGTTATAAATCCAAATTTCACAAAAATCTTATGTCAGTGCGGACTTAAGATTTAGACACCTATCCTTCGCATGTTTCAACTATGATGTCCTAGCGAATTTCTCCCCAATCCTCTTGGGTCATAAAGTATCCAGAATGTGTACTACAGTGATAAATTCTTGGTACACTACACCGGCTCTACGATATAACCTGATTCAATGCTACCCAATTACGTCACTCTGACAAGCAACGTAACTAAGCGATCTTGCTTTGACAAGTCAAGCAAAGGGTATACAGTGAGGTAACTCAATCCAACCTAGAGCCTATACTGGACTTTCTGTCTACTACCTAAATGTTGGATTACGAATTTTATTAAATAAATTTCTACTTCAAGGTCGAAAAAATACGCTTTTTCGATTTTTTTCTGGTGAAAACGTTACAACGATCGTCATAATTGGCATCCCTTTCAAAACACCTTCCTCATGTTAATTCTGGAGAAAATGGGGAAAATGATTTATCTTATTTAAAAAAAAGGAAACATATCTAAATTATAAAGCCTTTTATTACTGTAAGAAAAGCAACAACATTCTGCAAATTTTATTTTTAAATTTGCCTTAAAATTTTACCATGGGAAACAATTTTAATTTTGATTCCTTCCCTATGACAACTTTGGATAGACTAGATAAGTTTCTTACTATTAGTTTAGAAAGGCATTGATTCATGCTTTCTTTAATGTGATTTACAATAATAATTCTTTTTGTGGGAAAAAAAACTCTTTTGGAATAATCCATGAAGGGAAATAAATACAAATTTAAAATTAGGCTAAACACTTGGTACTAAAGCTAAACATATGCATGCATTCTGCAATAGAAATCCTCAACTGGATTTATGTCGTGAACAATTTTTAACAATTAAACTCTTCCTGGATTTAGGAAAAGGGAAGCTCAGCATCAACAATGACATCAGCACTATATTAATGGCACAACTGTTCAGAAAACTCATCAATCAACAACACTGCTGCTGAATGGGGCTAGAATCTGTCATTGAATTCGAACACTCCCTCTGTGATGTGTTTGATCACATGACGCTTCTCACTAACCACTGCATTCATCTGATCCTGTATCCAGCAGAGAACTTCTGGGGTGGTCTGTGTGGAGGCTGAATAGTATGCTATAAATAAATTGAACCAGATACACAATTAATCATGCCAACAGTTTCACATATACCGGTACTGTAAACAGAGAAACTACTCACATGTGGACTACTTTAAAACTGGGTGAATTCAAAGAACACAGTATGATTTGTTAAACAGATCTATGAATTGGTGAAATTGAAATGGGGCAAAATTGTCTGCAAGTGTAAAAGGGCCAAAATAACCCTGAATACAGTTTTAACTGCCAATTAATGAGGGGTGATATCAATGCATACTCAAAGTTAAAAGAAACTGCATGGTTGAAGCCCATTTCCTTTCAGACTGCTCATCATAGTTGGTGATTAAATTTCTACATTTTTTTCTACAATATAACATAAGTTACATAACACTGATTTGTACGGTTTTCCTATAAAATCCTTACTGTCGTCTTTACAAGTCATGTAGAAACAGGTCCATGCTGATCCACAGAAAATCTCCAAAGGCAGCGGAAACTCGTGGGTCAGGAAAAGAAGCTTTCCCAGGAAATGGAAGGCATGACGATAAATGTCCTAAAATAGGTAAAGTAAAAATTGAAAAAAACAGTGTTCTGTGTTCTCGAGATGCATTCAGGTTTTTTGAAAGTTCATGAAGACATGGCTGATACTTTTCACTCAGACATATTTCTTAAAGTATGTCATTTCAATTGTAATATGAAATATTCCTTTAAATATTTTTTTTTAAAAACAAATACTGTATTTACATTTCTTTCATCCAATAAATGTATTAAATCAGAGAAATTAACATTATGTGTTCCTTAGGTTCCATAAATTTGTATTGAATATGTTTTGAGTACCACTATTTCAAAATTGTTTGCAAATATTTGGTAACATTTTCTCATTTCTACACCCAAACAAGTTTTTTCTATCCAGCTATGGAATGCATGTATAAATTATAACAGTGCAGGAGTGTTGTTTTTCTGAAGTCCCTACACCAAGAAACATGTCAGCCCAAGGCTACAAACTGCCGTGTAATACAGTATAGGAAGTGTGTATCTACCTGAGAACTACATAATGCTATCTAATATCACTTGGGCCTAGGAATGCACCCAAAAACTACTTCAGTAAAACTTGATTAAGCTGGACATCACTGGTTCTAAAGAAATTGGCCAGATTAGACAACCTTCTGTATTAGATATTTTTAAACAGCTGAATTTATTAATTACATTGTATTGGGCAAGGTTTTGGAATACACAATAACCAGATTACACAAGTTTCACTGTAGAACTTTTTTTTAAAGTTTGGTCTAAAGAGGCTTTATGGAAACTTGGAAATGAGACCTGTTCCAGAAATTTTACCATGGGACACCAATCCCGAGGGTATTACATAGGCTCTCCCCAACTTTACTGAGGTGAGCTGAAAATTGATTAGTACCCAGGGACATAATGCATATCAATTTAAGTCCACCGTATACAATAAGAGAAACATAAAAGAATACATGCAGCCTTTTGTTTGAGCATTGATTGATATTAAGATCCACTTTCTGTGCATTTTCTAATCAGAAAACTGTAACATATAGAATGATTGAACATTTGGGCTAAATCATTAATAAATATGAACATGAATGAGAATTGCATACTTGGGGACAAATAATATGATAATTTGTGTTTTTATATGTATGTAATATATTAACTGCTAGAAAACTGCTGGGTTTTGAGATCAAGAGTCAATGTCCTCATATAGTCATACATGTGATAATCATTAGCATGAAAAATGTTCTCCACAAAGGCCAAAAATAACATGTCAATCAGAAGCAATCACTCATTAATTAATGATAAAAAAAGAATAAGTGACAACAACATAGAAAATCTCCTCTAATGTGGAAAATGCATTAATTAAGCAGTTTTCGTGATCAAGAAATCTGTAGATATAAGGATTGTGATGGATATGTCAAATAAGCCATGAAATATCACAGGCAGTGATGATTTACACTGACCACCTAAATCAAAATATACAGTCTCTCTAGTAATTGGTCAGTGTCTTATAATCATGACAAAAAAAAAAGCAAAACCATCTCTTAAGTCCCTAAAAGCACAATGTCCTTTTTCTGTTCCAAAAACTACAGAAATGTGGACACATCAGGAAACACAGTAATTTATTTCAGGTTGTAATTCACTAAATCTATTCGATTGGAATTTAAAAACTAGCAAATTCAAAGAATTGTGGTTTCCGCTTTCTCTGTTTTTCTGGGTGAGATGTCATTATTTATGGCATATTGTGTCAAATACTAACGCCCTATCATATGTCATTCAAAATTTATCATCAAAGTAGATTTTTTTTGAAAATTAGGTAAAAAATGAGGGTGAGATCAAGGGGTCAAAAATTGTATCATGTTCAGAAATACATGTATCTTGATAAGAGATGGGTACCCTTCAATATTATACAATTATTGACTTTTGATGAGGTCAAAAGCAGTGACTATACAGGACCTAGAAAGTAATTATTGGTTCCCAACCGAGGCCGAAGGCCAAGGTTAACCAATTAACACCATCAATTAGTCACGTAGTAATTGGGCCAATTCAAAAGTCAATAACCATTTTATTAAATGAATAGGAATTTTACAACACTTTTGACACTTTCATTCTTGTCTCCATCAAACATAAACATCCATAATATAATGTAAAGTGTAACAAAACTTTTAATATGTTGACATACTTCAACAGCTTAACAAATAGAAGTTAAAAATTCAAAAACAATATTATTAAACAATAAATACTCAACCATTTACTTTCAAAACTGTTTTATCTTCATGGTAATGACGTCTGACATGTTTACATTCACACCAACACATGTTTTAGAACGCACAATTTGATTGGTAAAAAAAAAAACTATTAGCAAATCTATGGTTGCATGGTCAAGAGGAAAATCCTGAATTAACCTCCAAGTTCTTCATTTGAGGTGAATCACTCGGAGTTACACCTCAGAAAAGAGCGTCTAGACCAATCAGAGAGCACCAAAATTCCTGATCATTTAATAAAATAGAAAGAATGGCAGTGTCCATGTTTTGGTAAGGGAAACCCAAAATATGTATCAAATCAAAAATTAAAATAGGAGGTCACAAACTCACAATGGCACTATGAAACAAAGATCTGTGAAAGTCTCAATAAATTTCATTCAGTGGTATAGGAGGAGATGCAGATATGAGATGGATACCCCAAAGCGTAACAGACGGATGGATGGTCAGACATGCACTACAGACGGACATCCCAATCACTATTTACCCTCCCACTTTTCAAGCTTGGAGATAATAAATTGTCTTTTTCTAAATTAATTTACTATCACAAATCAATGACCATTAAGTTTCCTTAGAGAAGTAAGAGTATTATTATGTAATAATACAATTAAATTCCATGTAATCTGCTCTTTGCCACTAGCTTGCAGTTTACCATCTCTTGTATTTGGTTTAGAAAAAGGTGTTACATGAGTCAAAAATTCAAATTTTAAATACAGCTAAACCAGCTATCCAACAGTCTCTGTGTATGCACCACAAGCCCACAACCTTCCCTATATATAAATATTTAGACAAACACATAAACTTACAAGGAACCAGTTTCCCATGGTCACGCATCTGGGGGTGGGGCGGATTCGGATCTGTTGATAGTGTTCCTCCCGGGGTCGGGCAAAGACCAGGGCACACAGGGCCAGGAATTCCTGCTGGGTGACGTGAAGATTCCGACCCCAGGTTAACAAAAGGAAGTACCTCAGACAGTACACAATGAAACCATTCTTCCTACCATAACGGTCAAACCATTTTGTTTTTACCACTACAACAGAACATATCATTTCTTTCAAGCTTAATTATTCATAAATCTATTATGCTAAGAAAATGGTACTAAACTGTGATTTAATTTTAATACTTTTGACAATTAAAAATGTTCGATAAAGAAACATATTCTTCAATATCCAATAGCAAAGCTGAGATGTCTGTTTGACCTTTATTTCCATTGTTGTCTATCATAAAAGTAAATATATGTATTCAGACAAAGAGTTGACAATTTTTGAAGTGGGCATTTTTTTAAGTTTTACCTGGTTCTATATGTGACATGATATGATGAAAGCTATTTAGGTTCCAGAATGTCTTATCTTCATAAATTTTGTGAACAGGTGGGATTTCTGGGTCATCAATGGCTAAAATCTGTTAAATATATATAAAAATACCTTTTTTATTAACACATTTATTGCCTACCCATTTGCACACTGTACTGCAACATTTTAATGTAAGTCTCAAATCCTACATTCTTGGTTAAAAAACACATCTAAACTTTTTTTTTCCAAAAATAAAATATGATACCCTATAACAAGCACCTGCATCACTCAAAGCTTACCCCTGAAATCTTAAGTGGTTCCCAGGGGCTGCGTCCATACTCATTGACAAGATTTTCTTGGCGTGGAAGGACAATTCTGTAGATATGAGATCTGAGATCAGCCAGCGCCACCTCAACACAGGGCTGACCATAGGTGGTGTCCTCCTGCAGCATGCGGTGCCAGTAAAAATTGTTATGCATGGCCATTAAATGTGTGGGGTACTTCAGCTTAATAAAATAAAATTTGAGTTTATAATAGGTTCCAGTACTAAGCATCCATTGCTGGATTATGATGCATGTATATCATTATGAAAAGTAATAATATCTTATTGTTCTAAAAAAGAGTGGCAAGCTATACATGTACAAGCAGTAGGTATTGTTGAATAAAAAAAGTATTTGATTTTTGGCCGTACTAAGGTTATCTTCTCTGCTAGAAGTTTAGAAAAGTATCCTTTGTGTACTACTTCCTCAGGGCTTGACTGAAGGTCATAAAACAGTCTAGAATGTTCCACAGATCTGGCAAAGGCAAAATTATGAGTCTGTAAATGAAACAGGAGACATTTTTAGCCTAAAGAAAAAGTGATTTACAAGAAAAAAAAAATCAAATGAATATTTTTTTTCAAAAGTAAAAATGACAAATACTGAATTGGATAAATATACAACTTCATCTTTGTTCAGGTGTCATTGATTTTCTTAATTTGGTACATATAACAAAAATCAAAAAGTCATCAAAGGTAAATTCAAACCCTGAAAACTTTGTTTTACCATTTCTCTGTATAACATGGGATGGTTTTCTATCGCTTTGTAGCGGTTGACCCATTCTGCAAAAGTTTCCACACTCTTTCTCCCCTGCAGGTCTAGCTGTCCATTTAATCCTTCTGTGACATACTGAGAGGTGAAGTCATTGCCAGCAATAATGCTCAGTTCTGTCATTAAATGGTGACTCTGAAACTATAAAATTAATCTTCTCCTAGATATACTAACTTATAACATCCCCATGTTACAGAAAGCAATGAAAATTATTAGAGTCGCGCAAAGACACATGAATCAATACTAAAATTTCTACCAACCCCAAAAGTATTCATGACTCTTTCTGTGGAGATTATACCACACATAACTGACTCAGGCTTCACAGGAACTTCAATGGGAAGACCTATTTGTAAGCTATTTTGAAAGTCAAACAGTTCATTTGGGATAAATCTACAGTTCTTAAAAATACAAAAATCTGAATCATTACTCCAAATCACAAAAGCTTTTTCACGTTCATGCAGAGCTTTCGCAATCATAAAATCTGCTTCCCCTGTCACACTCTGGATTAACTCACATCCACAAGATTTCAGTGTTTCAACAATCTGGATCTCTAAACACACAGGTCTCACAAACATTTGTTCCTCTAAGTCACACATTTCCTTTGTTCCTCTACACACATTGATCACCTCGTTTAGATTACTGACTTCCCTATGATGTCTTTTCATCCAAGTGTCTAACTTGTGTTGTGTATTGGCATCAGAACAGCCTTTGGTAGCGTCCATGAAGAACACAAAAGAAATCTTTAACTGTTTGAAAATTTCAATAAATCTTCTTATGAAATGATCCATAGATCCATATTCTCCTCCTAGTATTCTCAAGTATTCATTGTTTCTGAGACTGCTTAAACCTTTCCAGAACTTTGGAAGAAGCATGTGTTCAAAAGAATAAAAGTCCACGAGGATTTCGATGCCTCCTCTACTTTTGGCCACAGCTACCAAGTCCACATCTTCAACACACTCCTCCCTCCTCCGCAAACAATGACTTAACAAGCCCCGGATACCCATCACTCAACTATAAACAAATGAAAATGTTCGACAATGTCAAATTACATCTTATTATTATCTTAACAAATCATAATAGATACATTATTATAAATGTATATATAGCATGTATGATAATTAGCGGAAAAAATCTTTATTCTACAACACACATTTAACAATGTACTTGATTTAGCATAACCACTGAGCTATTGAGACCCCAATTTATTGACTGACTCTCACACACCTGTGAACCTGTTACATAACTATTGATTAGCTATGTTATGGGATATCTTACAATATTAAAAAAAAACTTAATTTAACAATCTTAGAGATTCTTCAATTTAGGTTTGATGTGTCAACAAATGTTTGACTTTAGCTGAACTCTCTAACACAGATTTCTCAAACAGAAATTTCAAAGTGATTTGGAAGTCTCAGCTGCTTGATCTTTTAAATATTTTTTCAGTAGTTGAAGTTTTTCTTGGTCCTATGAATTTCAACTTAAACTATTAAAAGAAAATAATGCTTAACAGTATTCGACTATTCATTCAATGATTTGACATTCAGATGTGAATTAAAGATAAGAAAATTTCAGGCGTTTCTAAAAGATTTCATTGCAGATGAAAACATGATAAAGTTAGTGAGACTTGGTAAATTTAATAAGGATAACAAACGCCGTCCATTGCCCGTTACCTTCTCAACCCCAGAAAAAAAAGTGGAGTTCTTTAAACGAGGTGGAAAGTTGCGGGAAAACATTGAATTCAGTGAAGTACGACTTGCAAATGATTTGACACGCACAGAGAGGGAAAATGAAAAGAAACTGTATACGAAAGCCAAGGAACTGAATAAAAAGTTCGGGGGAATTCAATTACCGTGTGCGCGGTCCACCTTGGGCAAGGAAAGTAGTAAGGCTCAGGGTAAGCGACCCAGACTAGAAGATACAAAGAGGAATGTAAATAATGTATATAGTTTTAAAGTGATAAACAAACTTTCGTTCTTTTACACCAATGCAGACCAATTTAGAAATAAGTTCAATGAGTTCCAGGTCAGGATAAGGGACACAAAGCCATTAATAATAGGAATAACAGAAGTGAAGGCAAAAAATGCAACATGTGCACCTAATCCAGCTGAATATACGATGGATTGGACGAAGGAATACAGGATGTTTCATGTAAATATTGAAAGCAGCATAGGTAGAGGACTACTTTTATATGTACTTGATTCTCTTTATGCAGAGGAGGCAAAACTTTCAGCGTCCTTTGAGGAGCAGCTTTTTGTGAAAATAAAGATAAACAGCACAGACTATTTCCTAGTTGGCCTCATTTATCGGTCACCGTCAGACAATACCAAAGAAAAAAATGAATGTTTAAGAAACCTGATAACTGAAGCCTCAAGAATGAAGTGCAAACACTATCTCATTATGGGAGATTTCAACTATCCTAATATAGACTGGGATCTACTGTGTACAAAAAGTGAAAACTCTGCTGAGCAGAAATTCATAGATTGTCTGCAGGACAACTTCATGTTCCAAACCGTCACAAAACCAACAAGGTGGAGAGGAACGAACATTCCAACCATTTTGGATCTTGTGATCACAAAGGATGAAAATGCTGTGGAGGAAATGGAATACCAAAGCCCATTAGGAAAGAGCGACCACTGTGTTATCTGCTTTAACTATGTTTGCAGTGCAATACTGAAAAGCGGACCAAAAAAGAGGAGGACTTATAGGAAAGCTAACTTTGCGGATATGAAGAAGGAAATTAGCGAAACAGATTGGGAAAGCATTCTGGAGTCACGGAGCACAGTAAACGAGATGTGGCGTCAATTCCGACAAAAAATTGAGGACATAGAAGATAAATATGTGCCAGTAGTCACCATCAGACCAAGCAGAAAAACAAAATGCCCTTGGACAAAGAAACTGTCACCTTGATTAAAGAAAAAAACGCACTGTGCAGAAAATATGTGGCTACCAAGGATCCAAATATAAGGAAAAAGTACAATAGGACTAGGAACAAAGTGGCAAAGTTTGTGAGGAAAGCAAGGAAGTCATTATTAGTATAGCACAAGAGGCAAAAACTAACCCAAAAAAGATATGGCAGTATATTAACTCAAAAAGTAAAACGATACAAGGAATCGGGGAACTGTGTGTCGACCCTAAAAATCCAAAGTCCAATAAAACAGAAGTGGATGAAGAGAAAGCAAATATTTTAGCAGACTTTTTTACACGTTTTTACACAAGAACCTGAGGAAGCCATACCCGAACTGGACAAACACCCTATCAAGAAGGAGTGGACAGAATTAAGAATATTGGAGGAAGGAATTATCAAAGCACTGAACCTGTTAAAGCCAGATAAGTCACCAGGATTAGACAACATGCATCCAAGGCTATTGAGGGAATTAAGAGTGGAATTAGCAGAACCCCTAGCAAGGATCTTTAGGAAGTCAGTAGATGAGAGAAAAGTTCCAGAAGAATGGAAAACAGCACGTATTAGTGCGATCTTTAAAAAAGGAAACAAGGCGATAGCAGGAAACTACAGACCAGTGAGCTTAACGTCAGTGGTGTGTAAAGTCATGGAGAGACTAGTTAGGGACCACATAATAGAGCATTTTGTAAGCAACAACCTCTTTACAACTAAACAATATGGCTTTATCAGTGGTAGATCAACTTCACTACAACTGTTAAGGGTATTAGAGGAATGGACAGAGGCTTTGGACAGTGGACATGATGTTGACTGTAACTACATGGACTATCAGAAGGCCTTTGATACTGTCCCACATAACAGACTGCTTAAGAAACTGGAAGCATATGGAATAGGGAAAGAACTTATAGACTGGATAAGGAACTACCTAAGTGGAAGGAAACAACAAGTATCCATAAACGGGGCAACATCTAAATGGCATAGCGTAACTTCCGGCATTCCGCAGGGGTCAGTAATTGGGCCGAAATGTTCGTCATATTTATCAACGATCTCCCTGATATCGTGAGCTCTACTGTGTACCTATTTGCCGACGACACGAAAATCTTTAGTTAAGGGTAGGGAAGATAAAATGACACTTCAAAGAGATCTTGAGAAACTAACAGAATGGAGTAACACCTGGCTCTTAAAGTTCCATCCAGAAAAATGTAAACACATGCACATTGGAAAGAAAGACCCAGACCAAGACTTTGAGTATGAGCTGTTAGGACGCACTCTGGAGAAGGTACAAGAGGAAAAAGACATTGGAGTCATCATAGATGAACAACTCAGCTTTGACAGACACATAAGCGAGAAGGTGAAAAAGGCAAACTCTATTTTTGCAATGTTAAGGCGAACTTTTCAACATTTGGGCGAAGAAACCTTCATTCCTCTTTATAAGACACTTGTCAGGACACATTTAGACTATGCGAGTTCGGTCTGGTTCCCTTTCAAATCAAGACACATAGAGATGATTGAAGGAGTGCAGAGAAGAGCTATCAAGCAGATTCCAGGTTTGGCAAAATTAAGCTATGAAGAAAGGTTGAAGAAACTAAAACTACCAACGCTGAAGTACAGGCGCCACCGAGGAGATATGATTGAAGTGTGCAAAATAACAAGTGGAAAGTATGACCCATTAGCAGCAGACTTTATCAAGTTAAGGAGAGACCACGTTACTAGGGAACAAGGAAGAGGGAATTCCAAGAAGCTGTTTGTACAGAGACCTAGACTCAATATAAGAAAATTCAGCTTCAGTGTTAGAACTGTCAGTCTATGGAATAGCTTACCAGAGGATGTTGTAAGTGCTAAAACTCTGAATACTTTCAAGAATAGACTAGACAACTTCTGGAAGGACCAGGATGTGCTCTATAATTACAAAGTAGACTTTAAAACCGATTACACTGGTAGTCACCCAAGTAGTCACAAAGCAAGGTTTGAGTCCGACGAAGAGGACCTTGACAGGACCTGTGTTGGAAAAATACCATAAGTAACCATAAGTAAGTAAGTATAAAAGCATAACTATGAATTATTTCACATCAACGTCAGTTCTATCGTGTGAAAACATGATACCTAATATTATTGCGTTTTGGTTTAGCCGCATTTATTCTAGTTTCACTTTCAGACTAAAATTAAGTTGAACCTATTTTTTTCTCTCTTCTGTCTATTTATTTATACATATATTTTCATACTAGTATTAGTAGTTACTGTTGAAAATCTTTCCGTTGATTTTTATATTAATTGTGTTGATATTATTTAAAAATAAATTATCAGTATCTTGTTTGGCATTTAATTTTAACAGGACTTCCCTCCCATGTACAACTTAATGAATCGGGGGTTTAACTTCCTGTGAGAAGTAAACAATCGTGTTTCGCCACGTCGAATTGCAGTGTAATTTGTTTTTAAACGACAGGTGTTTCACAGAAAGTGCAATTACATTTTGTAAGGGTAATGATATTTATTTTTCAAGATAATTCTGAACAGCAGATGAAATAAACTATTGTTCTGAAATACGAACCTGGCACTTCAGACACTGACAACAGCATGGCATATGGTAAAACTTTTGATGACTTTATAGTCAATGGCTGGAATATACGAATAGGGATTTATTTAATTGATTTCTGATGAAATATGGTGTTCGTCTGCTTTGCAATTTAATTTGTAAAAACTAGATACTATAAATAAGAAGGGTGTAAATTTCATTTTCAAAATAACATTTGATATAAAGCCTTTATTAAAGGTCATGCCAGGGATATCATTGATTGTCTTTCCATACAAGATTTTTCTGAGGTGATAATTCGCCATAGTGGCAAAAAATATACTCATCTGTAATGTTTTGGGTGATAAAGCCTTTTCTTTGATGTTATTTTCCAGTAACGATCTTAATAAAGCTCATGGAAATAAAATTATTTTGGACACAATATATTAAAAGTACGTTTTCTTTCTGCATAATATAAATGTACATACTAGTACACAATTATACGCCATAAACAAAATATATCAAGGTATTTAAATGGTCAAAATTAACCATGTGGTCAAAATTACACCACCCTACCCTAATGATACTCTCTGCTCTTTTTCAGGGATGAATGATGAAAAACCAATAGAATGAAGTACTGATTTATGTTGAAGAATTTTTTTTGGAAATCTGTCATCACTAGTCAAAATAACCAACATGACTTCCAGACGCCCTCAGCCTGCTAAGCCCTACTTTCCAGAAGGTGATATAGGAGAGGACTCATTTCCCCATGTTCCCTTTTCATCTGGGGGAACCAAAAGAGAATCTGAAGAAAACCCCCGAGGTTTAGAAGGAGACTATAGCAATGTAGCTTTGTTGATGTTTTTATATGTACTTCAGGGTATACCACTTGGAGTAGCAGGCAGTGTTCCTATGCTTCTACAAAGTCGAGATGTTAGTTACAAAGAACAAGCTGTGTTCAGTTTTGTATTTTGGCCCTTCAGCATTAAATTAATATGGGCACCACTTGTGGATTCAATGTATTTCCCATCTTTTGGAAGAAGGAAGAGTTGGCTGGTTCCAATTCAATATCTGATTGGTGTATTCATGATGCTATTATCCTATAGAGTAGACTCTTTGATAGGCACGGAGAAAAGTGGTAGTGGAGTGAGTATCTACATGCTTACAGCTATCTTCTTCATGCTGAATTTTCTGGCTGCTACTCAAGACATAGCAGTTGATGGCTGGGCCTTAACAATGCTGTCAAAGTAAGATACCATAGATTTTCTGTTGTTCATTGATATATTAGAGAATTTAAGTAATATTAGAATATTTATTATAAAATGACATTTATTTTACTTGTTGATTTAAAAAAAGAATGCATTTATTTACATATATTTTTAGGAGAAATGTTGGCTGGGCAAGCACATGCAATACTGTTGGACAAACTGCAGGGTATTTTCTTGGAAACATTTTTTTCCTAGCCTTGGAATCAGCTGATTTTTGTAACAAATACTTGAGGAGTGAACCCCAAGAAACTGGAGTTGTAACCCTTGCTGGTAAGCAAAAAGTTACATGAAATATTGAATCCCAAAACTAATCATGTCTATAAAATCATTTTCTCAACAACTGCTTTCTTTTTTTTAGGGTTCATGTTCTTCTGGGGCATCGTTTTCTTTGTAACCACAACCCTTGTTATGATTATGAAACATGAAACTGACGACCCTGATGCTGACAGTGAACAGGGCATTGTTGACACGTACAAACAGCTGATCAGGGTCATCAAACTACCTCCTGTCATCTCTTATGCCATCATCCTTCTAACGGTCAAGGTATTTATATCTCCTTAACAGTGAAACTTGGAGAGGACTTGTATAGGCCATGCCTGATGTCTAATCCAATTATGTAATCTGACTTTACATCATAAAATATTGATTAAATTAAACAGTGAAACTTAACTTTTTGCAGAATTATTTGATTTTTATAAATCTCTCAACTACAGATCAGATTATTTCATAATCACTTTGAATAAAAATGTTAAATATTTTCTGAACTTCATTAGAACAAAATCCAAAATATACTTTAATTATTTTATTTGAACAGATTGGATTTGCTGCTGCTGACTCGCTAACAGGTTTGAAGTTGATGGAGGCTGGGATGAAGAAGGAGACGTTAGCTCTGTTTGCTGTTCCCATGATTCCTATTCAGATCATCCTTCCACTGATCATCAGTAAATACACCGCCAGCAAAACTCCCATGGACATTTTTTTACGTGCAATGCCATTTAGGTAATTTCAATGCAGCTTGGACATCTGAGAATGTGGCTGCAAAAAAAATCCCCTTATCTCGTGCAATGGTACAAAAAATAAATTCAAAGTGAAGTGTCAACGAAAAACAGTTTTGATGCATTATATTTAAATTTTATTTATCTTATCCATTAAATTAAAATTATGATTTTTTATACTTGAATGAATAAAGACTTCACTTTAATTCATTATATGCATATTTGCTGTAACTGGAATTACTGTAAATGGTTGATCTTGTTATTGACAGATTACTCCTAGGGTTGGTGTATGCCTTCATGGTATGGATGGCATCAAGGGTACAGCCTAGCCCTGGAGTTTTTCCCACCTCGTTCTACATATTCATTTTAATTGTTTACGCTGTTCATCAGGTATGTACATTTAAATGTACTCATTGTACTGTAGAATTTCTTTAACCCTATTTACTTATAGCAAAAGAATTTCAAATGTGCATTTCATTCTATATGAGTCTTTTAATTTTTTTATCTGTATATTTTTCTTTTCAAATGCAAATAATATGTATTTATTACAGGTTACATTGTATAGCATGTTTGTAGCGGGCATGGCTTTTCATGCTAAAATCAGTGACCCGGCAATAGGAGGCACATATATGACACTTCTCAACACTTTATCCAATCTAGGTAAGATACATACTGCTAAAACACCTTATCCAATCTAGGTAAGATACATACTGCTAAAACACCTTATCCAATCTAAGTAATATATACACTATTCAACACCTTGTCTATAAACTGCTCAACACCTTGTCTATATACTGCTCAACACCTTGTCTATACACTACTCAACACCTTGTCTATTCACTGCTCAACACCTTGAAAATATACTGTTCAACACCTTATCCAATCTAGTTAAAATATTCACTGCTCAACACCTTATCCAATCTAGGTAAAATATTCACTGCTCAACACCTTATCCAATCTAGTTAAAATATTCACTGCTCAACACCTTATCCAATCTAGGTAAAATATTCACTGCTCAACACCTTATCCAATCTAGGTATAATATACACCGCTCAACACCTTATCCAATCTAGGTATAATATACACCGCTCAACACCTTATCCAATCTAGGTAAAATATACACCGCTCAACACCTTATCCAATCTAGGTAAAATATTCACTGCTCAACACCTTATCCAATCTAGGTATAATATACACCGCTCAACACCTTATCCAATCTAGGTAAAATATACACCGCTCAACACCTTATCCAATCTAGGTAAAATATTCACTGCTCAACGTCTTTACCAATCTAGGAAAAATATATGCTGCACAAAACCTTATTCAGTCTAGGTAATATAAGTTATTCAAAAAGCTTATTTTTACTTACTATTTAAAATAAATATTTTCTTTAAGTCTACTTGCAAATATTGCAGAATTAGGTGAATGGATATCATATCAAGGACATTCCTGTACTTCTTGTTTGAACATTTGTTACATTTTTTAGGTGGTAACTGGCCTAGTACAATGGCATTGTGGGTAGTAGATGGCTTAACATGGAAGTCTTGTATTGGAGCAACAGGGAGTTGTGATAAAGCAGCACCACTAGAAGAGGTAATCAAAAACATTTAATTGTTACAGAGATTTGATCCAGCCAGTACTAGTGTGACCATATTCATTTGGCACCAAATACTAGTACATATACCGGTACAATGAATATGTATGTTGTTTTGGGACAATTTGATGAAGTGATATAGTCACACTCTAAATTATAAACAGATGACTGTTAAAATCAACTCCAAATGTCATTGGGGACTTTATACGTGAAAATGGGCAGTTGGGTGAATTATTACGGTATCAAACTTTATAATAACAACAGTAGGTAGTTCTGTTTAAGCAAACCAGGTAGTACTGCAGTATCCCATACCCTTTAAACTGATGGAACTAGCAGTCCATAGTTTCTCATGTCTATTATTATCTTTCCAGCAATGTACGCATCATGGTGGTGTTTGTGAGACCAACATTGACGGATATTATATAGAGTCCATTCTCCTGATAGCTGTAGGATTCCTGTGGTATATATGGAGATACAGAAAAGTAAAACAACTTGACAGACTTGATGTCTCCGCTTGGAAGTGCTCCTGATCTTACTCTTAAGCTTATAACTAATAAACATTCCTGTGTTCTCATACTGTTAGTAGCAATCAGAATTGAGTATTACACTGACTGCTTTCAAAAGCAATGTCTTGTTTAGTTGTCTATCAACTCAATCATGTATATAGTTTACAGGTATTTTAATTAATGTCATAGTTAACTGGAATTAAGTACATTAACCTGAATCTCTTGATTAACACTGGGTGTTATAGATTCAGAGACAGTTCAAAGGAAATATTTATATGGACTTTTACTTTTTTTAACATATCGCTCAAGAGTCATTTTGGTTTTGTTGCGTTTGTTGATATTTTTTAGGGATCAATTAAATCATTGTTTTTCATTCGTTTTATATTTTTAAATGTCCAAGGAAAAATCATGAATAAAAATTATGTTACTTTTACTATGTCTTCTTATGCAAAAATTATGAGGACCAAACACAACAAGCAGACAATGAGATACAATTTGAATTTATTTTGTTAGAGAATAAAGTTTTTCAATAATATGGTGATATAATTACTTTTACATATAGGTATAACCAAATACAACTTGCATGTTGTGTTTTATCAAAACGTGTCACCCGATTCAATCTCCTGACCATCACAATGTGACTGTAACCCTCCAATTGGGATTTGAACTTGGGTGAAGGTTAGAAATTTGAGGTCACAAGCAGCAATATTATTTAAATTAGAATTCATCCCAATGCATCTGGAGCTAAGTTCTGGTCCTGTTTATGGAAAGGTCCAAGAAGTCGTGCTTGTTTCATGACCATGACCACTGCCTTAAGTATTTGGTGATAAATGTTGAAGAATAAAAGGTGTCAGTAATTAGAAGTCACCTGACATACCACTATAGTCATCATATACTAGCAATAAAGGAATGGAAGACTGCAAGCATGGACATTGTCTAATAATTCATTAAAAAAAACAACAACAACATAAAGCTATATATTTTTTTCTTTTTTTAATAACATAATTAATATTTTTAAACATAAACATTGAACACATAAGGGTATTTTAAGAGTGTCTGAAGTGTAAATGTTAATCACCAGTTCACATCATCATCTGTGGAGGACAGACAAGTAGCAAGGTGACTGTCTATATCAAGCATGGTGAAACTGCAAAACAAATAGAACTAATTGTTATATTCATAAAAGAATGGTAAAATATAAATATAATATAGCATATTGTTTATCCTGTAGTTCCGAGTGTGCCCTCTTTACCATTTAACAGTCAAAACTCATTATCTTGAATTTGTTAGGACCAAGAAACAAGAGGCCCATCAGCCATATTGGCACAATGCTCAGTGATTCTTAAATATAGATTTTTAAATATTTTTCCTAAATATTTCAATGTAAAATTTTAATTCCCTTTTGTGTCCTTACCCTTTCAACCGGGGAAGGAGGATATACCTAGGAAAGCTTCCACAAAAGTTTCATTATTTTTGGCCCAGTGGTTCTTGAAAATAAGATTTTTGATGACCTCACCACTTTTAGTCTTTTCTTAATTATATCCCCTTTGACATTGCCCTTCATTTAAAGGATTTAAACTCCTCTTCCCTCAAGGATGCTTTGTATTAACTTTGGTTAAAATTGGCCCAATAGTTCTTTTGAAGAAATTGAAAATATTAAAAGTTTACAGATGTGTGATCAGTAAAGTTAGAAAAAAAAAAATTAGAAAATATCAATTAATTTATATCGAGGGTAAAAAAAAATTTGGAGTTCCAAATCACTCGATTCACTACAACATATCTAATGGTTTTCGGTTTCTATGTTCAAGATACTAAAGTTCAACTGTATTCATACAGAACTGCTGTCTTTAGTGATACATACCTTGGATCAAAAGCTTTGCCACACATGGGACATTGTGAAACAGTACTTGCACTGGGTACTGGTTCCTGTTGTGCTTCCTGTATGAGTGATCTTCCTTGATCATCCTGCAGGTCTGAAGTTTCTGGTATACTATTTTTCCTTTCATTTTTTGTATTAGCTGTCAAGCACTAAAATAAAGAATTGTAAAACTAATTTACCTATTAATATAAGACTGCAGTGAAAATACAGTTGTAGCTAACATGCTTAATATAATGAATTGGCGTTAAAGTGAAGTGATTTTCATTCCCCAGTGACTTTCTTATATATTGTAATTTTGTAAACTTGACTGATATAATGAATTACACTTATAACAAAGCAAAATCATTCATCCCTGGCACTTTGTTACAAGCATGTTTTACTGTGCATTAGTAATTCCATTTCACAATTTATTTCATCAAGAAAAAAGCATATTAATTGAAAATAATTATCATAAATCCAAATTATACAGGAACTACAATGAAAATGCCATCTGAATAAGATTTTGACTGCTTTTTAATCCTATGATGTCTTTAATCTTTGACAGAAGACATCCATCAATAAAAAAAATAACATTCTAAGGCAATCAGTATCTTATTTAATTATACTGCATGTCACTCACTTTTTCCAGGATACCATGAGACTGTGGCTTCCGTTTTCAAATCCACATCTTGGAGACGACACATGGGTGGGAATGGTGTCAGTTCTCCTATGGGCTTTTTCTTAGTGACATTGTCTTCCAGCTACAATAGTTTTATTGTTTATTTTTATCTTCCATAAGCATGATAAGAGATAATCTAGCCATATTCTCTTTAAAAAAACACTTGCCACAGAAAGCATATTCATTTAGAGAGATATACAAATAAAATATAAACAAACCTTCTTATTTGGTATGAATGGAGGGAAAGGTGAGAGCTTGGTTGTAATTGGCAGTGGTTGCAAATTTTTTTCTGGCAGTGATTGAACATTTTCTTTGGATCTTCAAAACAAATCAGCTAAATAGTTAGTGCCTATTAATCAAGCAAAGGCCTATGAATTAAAGAGCTACAGATATGATTGATGACCAAACTCAAGATTTATTTTGAACCACAGGGGCTTGTCACGAAATATTTATCTCCTTTTAATAAAGTTACCCCTACTATGAAAATACACTGTGTATTTTCATAGTAGAATGGAGGGAAGGTAAGCTTGGTATGAAAAGAAGATAAATATTTCGTGACAAGCCCCTGTGTTTTGAACTTATAGGCTTAGGTATACCTGTCATTCGCTTTGTTTTTTATATCGTCAACTCTATTGTTGCAAGATAAATTGCTTGATTTTAGAGCAGTCTGAACAGACGGCTTTTCCTCATTTGTAGGGCCAAGTTTTCGCTTTAGACTTAGTCGCTTCATTCTACTTTCACTTTCACAGAAAGTAAAATTTGGAACAGTCCCAACGAAAATAAGTCTTTAAAGACATGTTTTGTGATTCGGATTATCTGTTTTGTAAAGAAAATCTTTAAACTAGTATTCCAAAACTCATCAAAGATATTTGAATAGAAACATTCTTTTCACTCACTAACTCAGTAACTTAGAAGGACCAAGTGTGCGCACGAATGTAGCCGGAAGTTGACGTCTGGAGGTCGTTCAAGATTAGACAAGGTGCGCAGAAGAAGCTACGCCAGAATGGATCTCTTAGCTAATTATGATGACGATGGCGAGAAATCACAAAGCTCCAGCAGTAATAAACAAGATCGGGTATAGTTTTTGAAAATATATGCTAAATTATGTTTCTTGATTTCTTAGTACTGTTTATAAATGAAGGAAACAAAATGTCCTATTTTTTTTCAAAATGGCGGCTTTCCACCATTTACTTTGAAAACGGAAGTAAATTTTGTATCATGAAAAATCTCCGGTGTTTTTAATTACTTTACTATTTCAACTGTAGTTTTAATCTTTTTTTAATTGCTAAAAAGCTTTGAGAATTTTTTTCAATATTGTTAAAAAGTTTACAAAGTACACATGCATGAAAATGATTCTATGAGGCCTATTTTTTTTTTTTATGATAGGTTGATGCATCGTCCAGCCTGCAGGCTGAATGGGAATCTTTTGAGAAAATGATCTCAGGTCTAAACGAAGACACGGAAAAGCCAACATCTGTAAATGACTTCCTTCAGGCCGGAATAGTGGCATATCCAGGCTCATTCAAAAACAACACAGAAAATGAAAAGGAGGGGAATGGATCATCAAGTTCTGGGGAAGAAGGTGAAAGTTCAATTAAGCATTAAAATGAATTATGTAAATATATGTACTATTTTAAAACCACTTTCATTAGAGTTAGTTAACAATTTCAAACAATATTTACATTATATATCTTGTTTGATAGCTTATATCAATTCATACTGATACTTGGAAGACACATTTTCATAAAAGAAAAACAGGTTAGTTACCATGAGTAAAACTACAGTAATGGTTAATTATCATTAATTCTTTCATTTTGGTATTATAATGAAACTTTTAGTGCAAGTCAAAAATGTGTATTTGATGTCTAGTATTCATTATTACAGTAAATTATATATATATTTTTAAAAAGTTTCTTAATTATTCATTATTCTTTACAGCAGAAGGCCCTAAAAAGTCCAGATCATTTGCTGAAGATGTAATGAAGCTATTCAGATCAGAATTTGTTGAAGAGGTAAAGAAAAGGAGAAAATATTTATAAGAAAAAAGCAAATGACAGAGCAAAATTAAAATTAAATTCACAATTTTTTTTCAATATTTTAAACCCCATAGATTATACCAGTTACTTCTTTTTCAACCCAAAGAAACATGTCTTTGTTATTACATGATACTAATATGAACAGTAAAGCAATTTGCATTTTGTCCAAATTGTCTTTTGGATTCTAAAAGAGGTATCCTTGTCCTTAGTGGTGGAAAATCTTCCCAGTTCACTGAATTTATAATTTCTCCACTTTTGATAGGGTTTTCCAGTCCTTTAGAATGATTCCCATCATGAAAATGTGTATAAGGTGTTTTGGGTCCCCTCGTAACATTAAATATGAAAAAAAAGGTTTAAGGTTATTTTCTTCAATAATCTGACCTGCTATCTACATATCAATTAGGTTTACCTTACCATGTGATTGCTGCAAAGAAACACTGATTCAACATATAATGACGACAACAATCTCTCAAATTGTTGTTGTTTCCGTGATGGCGTGTGGGTAAGTAGATGGAAGAGGAGGTAACCAAAATTACAGTCTCGTGATGAGAAAAGTCAGATTCCTGTGCTGGAAAAGTTATCACAAACATTTCCTGTTTCTCATATCGTGTGACCCATATAACACATTTTATTCATATATTGACCTCAGACAAGAGACATCACTTGTTGAACACACACATGTATCATAAACATTTCTTTTTTGTCATATTAGATGACTGATATGATAAATATGGTTTTATTTATATGTTGACCTCTGACACAAGACTTCAAACTCTTTGAAACAAATTTTTATTCGTTTAAGAATCAAAATAAAACCAGTTTTGTATTATTGTATTTTCGTTGACATACATGTAATCCCTTTATATCATTCTCAAAAGTCTAAGAAGTGCTCCATAACTTGACATTTTCGACCTGCCTGTCTTTTAATTTTTTTTTATTTACACAGTATAATGACAATGTATTTTTTAAAAATGGTTTTTGATGCAATTAGTGTTGCTGTATTTCTTTATTGATCAGTTGTTAGATATTTTAGATACTTTTCTCTGCTGTATTATCAGATGTTTTCAGCTGATAAAGAGTAATATACCAGGAATTAGTAGAAGGTTTTGTCTTTGGCAGGAACTAGACATGCCTCCCAGAGCCAGATCTACCTCACACTCCTCTGGATCCTCCCACAGCAGTAGATCTGCCTCAGCCTCTCCATCCTCAGACAGACAGGAGGAAAAAGAGGAAGACGAGCAGGAGGAGGAACCAGAAAAAGACACCAGTAAAGAGGTTAAAGAAGACAGGAGGCCGTCCACAGAGGGTCAATCCAGTAGGAAGCGGTCTAGATCCAGGTCAAGGTCACGTACCAGACGGACGTCACATTCAAGAAAAAAGTCCCGATCCAGTCGCTCTAGATCAAGATCAAAGAGGAGGGTATGTGAAAATCTCACAATAATTTGTCATGGATAACTTTTAAAGCTTTAATCTTCATGGTTTTATTAGCTCACCTGAGCCAAAGGCTCAAGTGAGCTTTTGTGATCACATTTTGTCCGTCGTCCGTCCGTCCGTCTGTCTGTCTGTCTGTCCGTCTGTAAACTTTTAACATTTTCGACTTCTTCTTAAGAACCACTGGGCCAATTTTGACCAAACTTGGTACAAAGCATCCTTGGGTGAAGGGGAATTTAAATTGTTAAAATGAAGGGTCATATCCCCTCGCAAGGGGAGATAATCAAGAAAAGACAAAAATAGGGTGGGGTCATTAAAAAATCTTCTTCTCAAGAACCACTGGGCCAGAAAAGCTGAAACTTATGTGAAAGCATCCTAGGGTAGTGTAGATATTAAATTGTTCAAATCATGACCCCCGGGGGAAGGGCGGGGCCACAATGGGGAATCAAAGTTTTACATAGAAATATGTAGGAAAAATCTTGGAAAATCTTCTTCTCAAGAACTACTGGGCCAGAAAAGCTGAAACTTATGTGAAAGCATCCTAGGGTAGTGTAGATATTAAATTGTTCAAATCATGACCCCCGGGGGAAGGGCGGGGCCACAATGGGGAATCAAAGTTTTACATAGAAATATATAGGAAAAATCTTGGAAAATCTTCTTCTCAAGAACTACTGGGCCAGAAAAGCTGAAACTTATGTGGAAGCATCCTGGGATAGTGTAGATTCTAAATTTTAAAAATCATATATTTTTTAAAAAAGGTGGGGCCACAATGGGGAATCAAAGTTTTACATAGAAATATATAGGAAAAATCTTGGAAAATCTTCTTCTCAAGAACTACTGGGCCAGAAAAGCTGAAACTTATGTGAAAGCATCCTAGGGTAGTGTAGATATTAAATTGTTCAAATCAAACCCCCGGGGGAAGGGCGGGGCCACAATGGGGAATCAAAGTTTTACATAGAAATATATAGGAAAAATCTTGGAAAATCTTCTTCTCAAGAACTACTGGGCCAGAAAAGCTGAAACTTATGTGGAAGCATCCTGGGATAGTGTAGATTCTAAATTGTAAAAATCATGACCCCCGGGGGAAGGGTGGGGCCACAATGGGGAATCAAAGTTTTACATAGAAATATATTGGAAAAATCTTTGAAAATCTTCTTCTCAAGAACCACTGGGCCAGAAAAGTTAAAACTTATGTGGAAGCATTATTGGGTAGTGTAGATTTTAATTTTTTTAAATCATGACCCCAGGGGTTAAAGGCGGGGCCACAATGGGGAATCAAAGTTTTACATAGAAATATATAGGAAAAATCTTTAAAAATCTTCTTCTCAAGAACCACTTGGCCAGAATAGCTAAGACTTATGTGGAAGCATCCTGGTATAGTGTAGATTCTAAATTAAATCATGACCCCCGGGGGAAGGGTGGGGCCACAATGGGGAATCAAAGTTTTACATAGAAATATATTGGAAAAATCTTTTTCTCAAGAACCACCGGGCCAGAAAAGTTGAAACTTATGTGGAAGCATTCTTGGGTAATGTAGATTTTAAATTGTTTAAATCATGACCCCCAGGGGAAGGGTGGAGCCACAATGGGGGGATCAAAGTTTCACATAAAAATATATAGGAAAATTCTTTGAAAATCTTCTTCTCAAGAACCACTGGGCCAGAAAAGCTGAAACTTATTTGCACATGGAAGGATCCTGGGGTAGTTGATTTCAAAATGTCTTAATTATGATCAGTGGGGTAGGGTGGGGATACATAATGTATTACAAGGGGGAACTCTGGTAAAGAACAGAATGGTCAAAGCTTCTCAGGTGAGCGATGTGGCCCATGGGCCTCTTGTTTACCATTGGAGCCATAACACAAGTACATTAGTAATATCATGAGTCTATTAGTAACTATAACTTACATGTTTAGTATTTGTTTGTCTGTTAGGAAAATAAACAAAGAGCAAGAGCCATCTTATGCATAAAATGGCCCTGTACTTATATCAATTTATTAACTATCACCCTCTTTCCATTTTCATATATCAAAATAAAGTAGACACTTGGTGCTTTTATGTTCTATAATGAAATTTCGTTTTGAGAATCCAAATATTTGAAAACAGGCTTTGAGAAATTGCAATGTTCTTGAAATTTGCAGAAAATATGCGTATTTGACTACCTTCAGCAAAGAATTAAAATATGAGCACAGCCCACGATCCAAAAAATAAAACATGTTTTTTGATCTTCAGAAATAGGCCTTTCATAATGTTTTGGCATATTTTGGATCAGAGGTTGTGCTCTATATGAAATATTGAAAAAATGCTTCATTTTTACGTCATTTTCAAAGGAATTTACAGGATATGAGGAAAATGACGCATTTTATGACGTCATAATGCATTGACTAGATGTGAAATTACGTCACAATTAATAGATACATGGTCATCAACAGTCCAAGTGATAAATACTGCATTTGCAACTTAAACTGAGCTGTTTTGAATTTTCAGAAATTGTCAGGGCCAAATAAGGCCCAAAGTGGCTCTACCTCTTTATTAAGAGAACAAATTAAAAATAATTCTGTGTATTAAAGTGATTGTCAGCTCATTTCCTTATCAGTAAATTCACGAAACAAGTGCCATTTGCCAGTCTAAGATGCAAATAGCTTGTGTATGCAGTATTTGTTAGAATGTTTTAAGTATTCTGTGTTGGTTTCAAATGCATTAGAGTGATTTAACGAAAAATGTATTGTAGAGTGGAGACAGGAAAGGCAGCTCATCCCGCAGGAGACACAGACGCAGCAGATCTCGAGACAGAAAACACAGGAGACGATCCTCTAGAGACAGACATAGACACAAGAAAGATAGACGGAGAAGTCGAAGTAGGGACAGACATCGTAAAAGGAGCCACAGGAGTAGGTCTAGACACCGCAGCAGGTCACCACCGCACAAACACAGGTAAGTTGTCACCTGTTAGTGTACTCACCTGTATACTATTCTGGTAAAGTAATGAACTGTCATATATCTGTTAACCAATATTAGATTTAGACTGCTGTATTGTTTAGGTCTGGAAAGAGCCGTAGTCGCAGCAGAGATAGGGGACATCATCCTGCTCCATCCTCTTCCAAACCTGAGGGGGAGAAGCATTTGACATTTAAAGAGAAGATGAGACAGCAGTTGTTGAAAGCCAGCAAATACTTACAGGCAGGGGAAGGTGGACTTGAAGTGGATGGTACGTACAGTACCACATGATTCTTTACTAAATAACTTTATTTGCAAAACTATTTGTGTGTGTGTGTGTGTGTGTGTGTTAAAGTGAGATAGTCTGCTTGAGGAAATTTTGCTCTCATGTATATCTGTACTCAAAAAGTTGATATAGAAAAAATGCCCAAATTTGTGAAAATTTTGTCCTGGTAATGAAGAGTTAAATGGCTATCTCATGAAAACTGGCAATCTGTAATAATCATGATAATTGAGACTTCCAAATTTATGCCCCCAAAATGCTTGCATGAAATTTAAACCCAAAAATAATTCTTGTATTTTTCTCATAGAGAGTAGTTTATCTTAAAAACAAGAATTTAAATTTTAGGAACTCCAAAGGAAAAGCCCAGCAATCTTCCCTTAAGTGATGGACACAAGAGATTTTTTGAGGCTCTGGCTTCCTCCACACAGTCCAGTGTTACTCCACAGATGGCCCTCCTACACACAATGGCAGCAATGCACCAGAAGGTCTGTATCTGTAAAAACTAAATTAATATAAAGTACAGGTATCTGTTGTGAAACATATTTAAGGTTAATTCTACCATGCACTGAAAGACCTTTTAAAAACATTCATTTTAAGTTCTTCTCATGACAATGGATGGTTGATTTGACAATTAATGAGTAATCCTTCTAGGGATGCAAGAACTTAAAAGTTGATAAATGAACAAATCTATCTTGTTGTTGATCCTAAACATTGTAATGAAAAAAATGTTAAAACTAAACATTTCTTTTGAGCATTGTGGTTCATGGTGCGCAGTGATTTTTCTACACTCAGTTTAGGTCCGAATATCGGCCCTTTCCCCTCTCAAAAATTACCGATTTTTTCCCAATTTTCAACTGCTTTTTTCCCAAAATCAAAACGTATTTTTTTGGTTATATTGAATTTTTTATGTACGACTTATCTAAATTGGAATGTTTTTGTTTTTGGTCATTCGGACGCTTAAAATAAAGGCGAAAAACAGCGGTTTATTTGTGTGTTTGTAAGACTTGGAAAAACACATCGAATGGATGTTAAACTTGTGTGTCAATACATCGTAAGAAATTTAATATGCATGTAAATCGGTTGAATATAGCTTTATTTGTAAATTGCAAGTAACAACAACCTTCCCTGATTTCACGAAAATTAAACTGTTTCTTCATCTTGCAGATACTAGCATTGATGAGAAATACAGCAATACATGCTTGTAAATCGTGTCAAGATTATTCCAGCTCCAATGCGAGCAATAAGGAGAAATCGGGAATGATTTTTCCTCAGTTATGTCTACCATTATGGCAAAAAATGGAATATACGACAATCAAAGAACAAAAATGAAAGAAAATTAAAAATGTAGAACGTACTGTGTCCATTTTGATGAAGTTTTGTAGCAAATAAATTTAATAAATGATATGATGAAAGTTTTGTAGCAAATAAATTTAATAAATGATATTACATTTACTTATATATTTTATTTTACTTGTCAATATGAAGGTTAATTACAATCTTATTGTTTTTCCCAATTTGACACAAATGTCGACAATTTTTCCCAATTGAAAAGGCCCAGGCCCCTTTTTAAAATTGTAAAAAAATCACTGACGGTGGTCTTTTATAATGTTTTCATTGAAAGATTAATTGTAATTGAAATATTGAATCACAGATAAAGTGCAATATCAGCTTTAATTGTAGGGTGCCAATTCTCTTTAAACATTTACAGGTTAATGAATGTATTAATAAGTCTTATTTAAAAGATGCAGCCCACAGAGCAATATTCATTGAATTCATTAATTTATGGATAATGAACTGCTAAGAAATACATTATAGATTCCATGGCATACAGTGTACTAAAACAGTTGTTACTGTCCCTAATGATTTCTTTAAATAATATTTCCAACTAATTTAAATTATTTCCATTCACTGGTCATATGTCTATAAGTGTGTACAAGTATTCGTTCTGTTTGTAGGCTCAAGAAATGACAGGTGTTGCTGTTCCTAAGTATTATAACCCTGCAGCTGTGAATCCTCTTAAGTATGCTGAACAGGTCCAGAAAAGGAAATTATTGTGGTCCAAAGCAAAGGAGCACAAAGAGGTGAGGATACCTAATATAAAGGAATTAGACTGTTAGCTGATCTTTTCATTAAAAAAAAAAGATTGTTTTTACTCGGTGCATAGATTCTCTTAGGAACAATATTGTGTAAAGAGAAAAAGATGTGTTATTTCTATGTAGCAAAATGTGGCAGATCCACTGCTCAAGAAATCTATACAGGTGGCATTAAAGTATTGATAACTATGGTTTTCATAGAGAACAAAGGAGATAATGATCAGTGGAAATATCAAAAATTTTAAAGTATTAAAACTTTTTTTTTTTTTTTATTCTTAACCAGGACAAGGAAAAGGAGTGGCAACATACAGCCTTTAATCAGGATGAAAATGGAAAGATGGCTACAAAGTTTAAAAAGTTAATGGGCCTGAAAGACGGGGCAGATGAGGGTAGTGGTAGTGCAACAGTAGAGACAGAGGAACAGAAGAAAAAACGAGAGGAACTTTTCTCGAGACTGGATAAAGACTATGAGTTTGCTCGCATGACGACTCACACACAGAGGGGTGTAGGTTTGGGGTTCTCCTCCCAGGGAATCCAACCTCCCTAACTATGTATAACATCCTGTATTTTTGTGAAGACATTCTCGTGACAATCTGGATCTTGATCCAAGAAATGATTGTCCTTAATCCCGACTTTTGATGTGTGAATTTATCTGTGAAGGTGAACAAGCTACTTGTGTTTTGTGAAAACCCACAGCAAAAGATTTTGAAATGTTCCAAAGTGATAATTCTGTGTCATGAACCCAGAGTACTTCTAATGAAGGAATAGCAAATGTTTGATATAAACTTCAATTTAGTGGACTAGTTATTTGTATTTGTTTCATTTAGAAACAACATAATTGTTATTTATTTAAAAAAAAATTTTTACATGATATTTTTTTTGTTTTTACTTGAATTTATATTATTTTCAAGTACATGTATTATGTTTCAAAAAGAAAATAGATAAACAAAGGTGTGCAAAATTCCTACACATACCTTCAAGTGTATAAACATAGGTAATCAGAGATTACAGAGCTTACCTCAACAAATGTTGTCTTTAAGTAAGGCAAAGTCACACAATTACCCAACAAAAAGTATATATTCAAAAATGCGATATTTATGCAATTTTGATCTGATACTTTGGAATAGACCCATATAAAAACTTCAAACTAGTTCATCTTGAAAATGTGATTAAAATTCAGCATCTGAAGCAAGTTTGAGAGTTTTCGTCCCTTGATGCATCATTTGGGCAAGTTTGGTTTAATAAGCCTTATAGTTTTTTGGTAATCCATTATCTGGAAAATGTATGTTGAATTCAGCATTTGGAGCAAGTCCATTAGTGTGCATCCTCAGATGTATTATCCATGCGAGTTTGCACAACATAGGGCTAATAGTTACTTAGAAATTAAATGAAACCTGCATAAAAATTTAACCTCTTCAATCATCCAGAAAAAAAATGTAGGTCAGATTAAGCATCCAAAGCCAGCCTGGTTGAATGTATCTTCGCTAGCCAAGGGTCTCCGATCCAAAATCTACTCTACCAGACCTGTTTACTCTTACGATTTCACCGTATTTTGTACGGATTTTTAGTCTAAAATACGTCTCACGTTTTGCTATTACAAAAATACGGAAATAAAAAATTCACTTGTTTAGAATTGAGAAGTTTTATTTCGTTGTGATCTGTCTCAGTCTCACGCTCTTTAATCGCTAAAAAAGATTTAAAAACAAAGTTATGTCGGTTTGCCAAAACGCCGTGTTATAAAATGATCATAACCATGTTATAAAACCATGTTTTAGTAATCAGAAAAGCAGTTGTTCACCATTAGTATATGTAAAATTGATGGGAAGTGAAATCTTACTGGCAAATGCCAAATCTCACGGACAAATCTAATAAAAAATACTGAGAGACAACGATATGGGTAAACAGGTCTGCTCTACAAGTTGTATAGTAGATTTCAAATCTTCGCTAGCCAAGGGTTTCCGATCCGAAATCTACTCTACAAGTTGTAAAGTAGATTTCAAATCGGAAACCCTTGGCTAGCGAAGATGGGTTGAATGCATCCCTAGATGTATCATCAATGCAAGTTTGGTCATTATAGGGCTCATAGTAACTTGGAAATGAAACCTGCACCAAAAACTTGAACCTGTTCAGTCATCTGGAAAATGTAGGTCAGATTCAGCATCCGAAGCAAGTCTGGTAGTATGCATACTAAGATGTACCATTCAAGCAAGTTTGGTCATTATAGGGCTCATAGTATCTTGGAAATGAATCTGCACCAAAAACTTTAACCTGTTAGCACAACTGGAAAATGTAGGTCAGATTCAGCATCCAATGCAAGTCAGCTAGTGTGCATCTTAAGATGTACCATATGTGCAAGTTTGGTCAACATAGGATTTATAATTACTTGGAAATGACACCTGCACCAAAAACATTAACCTGTTCACTCATGCAGAAAATGTAGGTCAGATTCAGCATCCGAAGCAAGCCTGGTAGTGTGCATCCTTAGATGTATCATCCGTGCAAGTTTGGTCAACATAGGGCTTATAGTTCCTTGGAAATCTTCCCAAGAACCACTTGGCTAGAAAAGCTGAAACTTATGTGGAAGCATCCTGGGGTAGTGTAGATTCTAAATTGTTCAAAGATTTTTAAAGATTTTTCCTATATATTTTAATGTAAAACTTTGATTTCTTATTGTGGCCCCGCCCAAACCCTGTGGGTCACACTTTGTACAATTTAGAATCTACACTACCCCCAGGATGCTTCCACATGTTTCAGCTTTTCTGGTCCAGTGGTTCATGAGAAGAAGATTTTCTAATGACCCCATCCTATTTTTGTCTTTTCTTGATTATCCCCCCTAGTGAGAGGACCTGGCCCTTTATTTTAACAATTTAAATTTCCCTTTACCTAAGGATGCTTTCTTGAGAAGAAGTCGAAAATGTGAAAAGTTTACAGACGGATGGACGACGGACAAAATGTGATCAGAAAAGCTCACTTGAGCCTTGGGTGAGCTAAAAAGAACCAAAGAACAACTTTACAAGGCCTTACCGGTAATGTCGTGAGTCTTTGCCACAAGCATATATAATATTATATTACAAATGTGGTATGTGGAATGTGGAATCTACGGCATTTAAAACACCATATCATGGAGGGGTATGGCACGCCAAATTCACAAAAATGAGCTAATCATAGTTTCACAATCGATAAACTAGATTTATCGGTTGTAAACTATAGTTTACAAACCGTAAACTATAGTTAACAACGTTAATCTATATTTCACATCTGTAAACCATAGTTAACGCGATAATCTATGTTTCACAACCGTAAACTATACTTAACATCGAAAACAATCATTTGCGATTGCAAAACATAGATTATCTATGGCACGCCAAATTCACAAAAATGAGCTAAACCTAGTTTCACATTTGATAAACTAGGTTTATCGACTGTTAACTATAGTTTACAAACCGTAAACTATAGTTAACGATTCGTTAAGTATAGTTTTCATCTGTAAAACTATATTTAACGGTTGTTAACTATAGTTTACGAATGCTAATCTAAGTTTATCTGTCTGTAAAATGCGTTAACAATATATTTTGTTGATAAACATAGATTCACGTTTGTAAACTATAGTTTACAATCGTAAACTATATAGTTAAGAGTTGTTAATCATAGTTTCACAAATCCTGAAACTATATTTATCAGATCGTAATCTATAGTTAACGGTTTGTAAACTTTAGTTTACAAATCGTGAAACTGTATTTATCAGATAATCTTTGTTTTGCGATCGCAAATGATTGTTCCCGTTGTTAAGTATAGTTTACGATTGTGAAACATAGATTATCGCGTTAGCTATGGTTTACGGATGTAAAATATAGATTAACGTTGTTAGCTATAGTTTACAGTCCGTAAACTATAGTTTACAACCGATAAACCTAGTTTATCGACTGTGAAACTATGTTTTGCTCATTTTTGTGAATTTGGCGTGCCATATAATTATCTGATAAATACAGTTTCACGATTTGTAAACTATAGTTTACAAACCGTTAACTATAGTTAACGATCTGATAAATATAGTTTCACGATTTGTGAAACTATGATTAACAACTCTTAACTATAGTTTACAATTGTAAACTATAGTTTACAAACGTGAATCTATGTTTATCAACAAAATCTATTGTTAACGCTTATTACAGACAGATAAACTTAGATTATCATTCGTAAACTATAGTTAACAACCGTTAAATATAGTTTTACAGATGACAACTATACTTAACGAATCGTTAACTATAGTTTACGGTATGTAAACTATAGTTTACAGTCGATAAACCTAGTTTATCAAATGTGAAACTATGATTATCTCATTTTTGTGAATTTGGCGTGCCATACAAATCATAGTTTCACAATCGATAAACTAGGTTTATCGGTTGTAAACTATAGTTTACGGACTGTAAACTATAGTTAACAACGTTAATCTATATTTTACATCTGTAAACTATGGTTAATGCGATAATCTATGTTTCACAACCGTAAACTATACTTAAGACCGAAAACTCTCATTTGCGATTGCAAAACATAGATTATCTGATAAATACAGTTTCACGATTTGTAAACTATAGTTTACAAACCGTTACTATAGTTAACGATCAGATAAATATAGTTTTACGATTTGTGAAACTATGATTAACAACTCTTAACTATAGTTTACGATTGTAAACTATAGTTTACAAACGTGAATCTATGTTTATCAACAAAATCTATTGTTAACGCTTATTACAGACAGATAAACTTAGATTAGCATTCGTAAACTATAGTTAACAACCGTTAAATATAGTTTTACAGATGAAAACTATACTTAACGAATCGTTAACTATAGTTTACGGTTTGTAAACTATAGTTTACAGTCGATAAACCTAGTTTATCAAATGTGAAACTATGATTATCTCATTTTTGTGAATTTGGCGTGCCATAGAGGGGTCTAGAGGTTAAAGCTGAACAGGACTGGTAAATGGCCATACGCCATATTCGATCATACAATCTCAGAAAGCGCTGGGTTATACCCATCGTATTCATTACGCCTTGTCACGAGTATCGGCGTGGAATGGCGACATGGGTTTGATGATTTTCATGTACTGCCTTTTTTAAATATTTATTTTATTGCAGTTACGTAAAGAAATATATTTTGTCGCTACATGTACCGAGTGCTGCGTAGCATGCGTCCGCCTACGTTACCTACGCTTTAGCCCCCTCCCCCAACCAAACAACCAACAAAAAAAATGTTTACTCACAAAAATTGACTCACGGTGACGCCAATTAAAACGATTCCAATGTATAAGCATTATTTTTTGACAGAGATATGACTCATAATTGGTAACCATAGAGTGTATACTATGACGTCATAATAGTGTTCGGATGAAACAGAAAGAACGTCCAAGATGGATAGAGATATCGTAATAGATTCCCACGACAAATTCGTTTGGACCACATTTCAGACAGAATTCGTTGTACAACATGAAGAACACGTAGTAGCCATCAGCGGATCTCTAGTAGAAATTGGCCAATGGAACATTCGACAGGCTGTAATGTTAGGTATTTAAATATTGTAACTTTTATCAAGTAAATGTTATTAAATGTGTTGAAATTAATGATTATTTCAAATAAGTTTTTCCAAAATAAATAAACAGAATTCACAAAAAAAAATCTGTTGATCAATGTACTTTTTCGTGAACATCAATAATCTGAGAACAGATGCGATTTTTTTAAGAAAGCTAAATTTAAATTCAAAGTAACCCTTTCAACCGAGCTTGTTGTTAAAAAGATATGCAGCCCCTGACAAAGATTTCCTTATACTGCATGGATGGAGTTTGCTGCAAAGTTTAATGATACTGTCTTTCGTTCATTAACTTGTCTCCCGTTTTCATGAAAGCGAGGGGACATTAAATCTCATTCGTCTGTAAGTCTGTCAGTCTGTCAAAATTCAACCTTGGTCATATCTTTTGATTGAAAAGAATAGAGGGCTATAGAGAGAATATTAGACACGCATATTACCTGTGACAAGACCTTTCTAAATACACTATGATTTTTGACCCCGTGACCTTGACCTAAAATTTGACCTACTTAAAAAAATAAACGTGATTTTGAATTGGCCATAGCTTTTAAATAAGAAGAGATAGGGCTTTCATATTAAAGATGTACAAGTTTATCTTTTAAAAAGATAGGTGAGCTAGCGCCGTAGCAATTTTTAATCTCAGAAAGGAAGATCCGTGATCAAGTGATTTATTTTGCTGAATTCTTTAATTTTTATCGAGGCTGGAGAGTGATAAAGTTATTATTCTTTTGTGAAGCGTATTTTATAGACACATAGGTAAAGAAACAAGGGGGATGGGTGACCTATTGGAGTTTTGTCGCAACGGAACATATATGACCTTTAGTGGAAGGGGGGGGGGGGCTCTATATAATATGAAGAAGGTGCCGATTGAGACATTGCATGTATGAGCTGATTTAAAGAAGAGAATTTCTTGGCAATTTAGCAAAGAAAATACAAGGGAGTTGAAAGGAATATAGAAAGTAACTCTAAGTGTATGCTGTAAAGAGTTTTGCAGAGAGTTTGGAACGCAGGTGAAGTAGCTTGGTCCTTTGGGTCATCTTTGTCAAGATATGTTAGGTTAAAAGCCATACACATCAGAATTTTTTAAACACAAATAGTGGATTTATTCGTTATTTTTAGTGTAAATTCTTGCTTCTGTTTCTGGAATTTGTAAGATTGGCTGAATTGACCAATCAGAAATTAGAATCTATCTTTGATTGTGCTTAGATGTAAAAAAAAAAAAAAAAAAAAAAAAAAACTCCCTTGTCATTGTTTAGAACAATCAGATAATGACTCGGGCTTTTCCGTCAGCAAAAAAACCTTCAGAATTTGAAATATTATAAATATGAAGTTATCTTTAAAGTCTAAGCTATACAATAAATAAACAGTTATTTCATGCTACAACATGATACAACGAAATTGTTATCGTACGGTCTATCTGTAGTAGTTTTCCCAGTTTTCCCAGAATGCACGACCATGGCGGCCGAGCATGCGTATTCAAGGAATTTGGACTACGAGCGCTAGCAATAATACCTATGACAGGACCTTTCTAGATACAATATGATTTTTTGACTTCATGACCTTGACCTTGAAGTTCGACCTTCTTTTTAAAAACTTTAACCTTGGCAATAGCTTTTGAATGAGAAGAGATAGGACTTTTCCTGTGACAAGACAGACCCGATTTTTTTTTAAATCAACTTCGGTGAAAACTGAAAGGGCGTTCATATTTGACATAATTTGCTTGTAAATGACATTTCACTCACAAAGACACCGAAAGCAGGGGATCACTGTTCTTTGAATTTGCTTGTTTATTACAGTGACACCATCATTGAATTGATAACTAGAAATTAACAATTATCAACGGCAAGCGGTATATCTAGTCTTCCCGACTCCCGACGCCCGACTCCCGACGGTCCCGGATTTGGGATTTTTAGCGATTTCTTTTTTACCGGTGCACAGATTTTATTCAAACTTTTCAGGCACATTTTCTGGGTTTATATGAATTCATTAGTGCATAAAAACTTTAGGTAACTTGTCTTTTTATTACTGAACCAGATGTTTCACCTGCCAAAAAGCGGTAAATCTAGTACTCTGTTATAAATGTTAAAACCAAAAACGGACACCGATGTTTTCGTAGAATTGTGATTAAAAACAACAAAATGAAGAATAATTTTTTCAACAAATAAGCGGAAAACCTCATTTACATACCAGATAATTTGTACGCCTAAAAACACCCATATAATTTCTTTTTTCCTTGTATAAATCGTTCATTGCCACATTATGTTCACAGGCTCTACGTACGACATTGACATATATATACGTCGGAGCCCCCCCCCCCTTTATTAATTAATTTATTTTTATTTGACTTTACTTTTTGTTGACTGATTTTAAGTTAACTCTAAATTCTACTCATCGTATGAAAACCTACACAATGACAAAAACGTTATCAGATTACCAGTAATATTTTAAGGACCATGGTTTGTCCCCGGATACATGTTATGTTAACAAGTCATGGTTAATACTAATAGCTTTGATTTAGAAGCAGTTTACAATACATAATTACTTTTTTTTAATTTGACAGAATATATCTCCATTTTCATTGTATCAGCCAGGTGATTAGGAAATTAATTTTTTAACCCAAGCTAACACTGCTTTAATAAAGCTTTTATAATAAGTGATTATCTTCTTCATTAACAGGTTTAAAAGGAACCCGACTTTAAAATTAAATTGTTCATACTTTTTTAACACCTTCAATTTCACTGAAACACTAATTCTATCTTTTTAAAAGAAGAAATATCTTCCCAAATAATATCAATATTATGATCTACGAAACCTCACGTCTCCGCTCATCGCTATGTATCGATAATTAATTAGTATAACTCTTAATTAAAAGAAAAATAAAATATGTGAGTTTCAGTGCGTACAAAAATAAAATGTGTGAGTTTCAGTGCGTACAAATTATCTAGCATTTAAATGAGGTTTTTCAGTTATTTGTTAAAAAAATATTTTCTTCATTTTGTTGTTTTAATCGCGATTTTACGAAAACATCAGTGTCCGTTTTTGGTTTTTACATTTATAACAGAGTACTAGATTTACCGCTTTTTGGCAGGTGATACTGCTGATTCAGTAATAAAAAGACAAGTTTCCTAAAGTTTTTATGCACTAATGAATTTATATAAACCCAGAAAATGTGCCTGAAAAGTTTGAATAAAATCTGTGCACCGGTAAAAAAGAAATCGCTAAAATCCTAAATCCGGGACCGTCGGGAGTCGGGAGTCGGGAAGACTAGATATACCGCTTGCCATTATCAACAATTTTGCATATGGGGTGGGGGTGGGAGTCAGATTGGATCATTAAATTCTGCATTCTTTTTTAATACCTTTTTCTTCAAGTATCCTGAATAAAGAAGTTATTCCGTCAGTTCAAAAAGCACTGCACCATTACGATACTGTAAAAAAAAAACTGTCAAAATTGTAAGTACCAAAGTGGGGACGGATCTTGCTGGACGTTTCACATATAACATGTAGCTTCTGTTAACACCGCACGCTTACCAAGGCCCCTATAACTGCCTTGTCCTTGAGTTTCACGCTGTTTAATCGCGGTATTGTTTTTGTCGTACCATTTAAAACATGTTTATCGAGCAAATCTGAGGCATGCATTAGTAATATAAATATGTCTGTCGAGGGTGAGGTTGGATTAATCTGTATATGCTTTGAGACGCAGTATAAGACAGATGTACACGGCAAATGTTTGGCTGTTTGTGGTTCTTTGCCTGCGATTGGAAACTGGGATGTTAAAAACGCAGTCATTACAGGTGGGATCGTTATATATGTCAATGTATAGAGTCTTTATTTTTGATTTATTCAAACATATAATATTCAGGCGCGGATCCAGAAATTTTTTTCCAGGGGGGGTCCACCCCAGTTAAAAAAAATCCAATCCCAGAAATTTCTTGAAAAGCAAAAAAAAAAACAAAAAAAACAAAAACAAAAAAAACAAAAACGTTAACTCTCCCGAACGTGAAAAACCTATTTCGCGGGGGGGGGGGGGGGGGGGGGGGGGGGGCAGTAGTGAATGACTTCTATTGCCTCAAATCTCTCACATTTCATACCCATTTCACACATATTCATGTTCACCAGGAGGGGGGGTCAGCGTTTTCCGGGGGGGGGGGGTCCAAGGTGACTTTTCTCTTGCTTTAGTATATACATTTATTAACCGTGGAAATTCCAGGGGGGGGGGGGGGTCCGGACCCACCCGACCCCCCCCCCCTCTAGATCCGCGCATGAATATTCACAGGATTTGAAACCGTATTCACCGGGTGATCATTTCGTGAGCAGCGGGGATTGTGACGTCAATTCAACGTTATGAAAGTCAATCATAGACTATTATCCAGCCATTACACATTGAGGTCATGTACACGAAGTAAAAACACGGAAGTTTCGCCGTGGTTGTCTGAACATTTTTTTTTCTTCATTTTATTTTGAAAGTCTATCTCATAAGTCATAAACATATTTTAGGACAATATTAGCTTCTAGTTGATTCGATACGCAAGAATGTACTCTTCAAACGACAAGTTTATAATTCTAGATAAGCTATTGACAAATAAGTTGATGAAACAAGAATATCAAATTCTTATTCATCCATGGTACCTAGTCATCATTTCGCAAGCTATGATCGATATTTCACACTGAATTATCTGTGAATTTTTCCATTTTTCCGGATCATAACAAGGAGCACACGGCGGGTGTGACCGATGGCAGGAGATGATTACTCCTCCATGATACCTGATCCCACATCTGGTGTTTTTAGAGGTCCGTATCTGCTGTGCTCCCATCCTTCCGTGTTGTTTTAATGGACTTTTGAATTTAATGGCATTGATGCTATTTGTTGTTTCCATATTGCATTATTGAAAAGAATGTTAATATGACATCATAATCGCTAAAATTCTAGTATCATATGCCGAGGCGTTGTAAGAGTAGTTAAGTCCAAAGGGAGACCACAGGATCATGAAACTCACATTCATGACATTGACCAAATATTTAGAGAACAGCATTCTAATCTGGTTGTGCATTTTTTGTTCAAAAATTAACTAAAAACAAACAAAAACAGATGTAATGTAGAGTTACACTAATATGACTTAAAGTTCACGAAAAAATATATATATGTTCAATTATGTAGAGTTTTTAAGCCTGGTAACTGCAATTTTTTGCCAACTATACGAAAAACAATTATTAAGGTCATTAGTAAGTATTGCAAACAAAACACAAATTCGAAAATTTAATCAAAAGATATATAATGCTTATGCTGGCCTCCGGGATCTTTGTTGTGACGTCACAATGCAAACGATGCAATCTAACGTCACAATCAGCATAGTTTCACACTATATGTTTCCCTCGTCGTCATCAGAGACCATGGTTGGGTTAGAAATAGTTTGTGATTACATGCTCCCGGATAATAATTTGGCCCTAGCAATAAGTGGGTCTATCAAGGAGTTCGGTGGCTGGAATATCAAAGAGGCCAAAATAGCAGGTAGATATATACTAAATTGCTGGAATCTTTTCGGTAGTTATTAAAATGTTATATGTTGCCAAGGGATTGAAGGACGTGGCCGTGGGGTAGCCTTTCTTCCATTGTCTTTCTCCATTTTACAGAATTTTTCTGCTTTTACCCTTTCATAGATTTAATACTTATGTCGTTTGCTATTTATTAGAAATTCAATTAATTGTCATTACTAGTACTCATTATTTGAATTTCTAATAATTCAGTAATTAGTAAACGGCACTTCTGAGTTCTGACATAAAATCTTATTTGACAGTAATGTCAATCGACCGCAATAAAAACCACATGTAAAATCGTTGCATTATGCATGCATTGATTTAAATGTATTGCAGTTTGTTCTGACTTTTGATTTAAAAAATTGGGTCCGGGTTCGGTGCTTTGTTCGGAAATAAATTAGATTCTCGTATTATAGACGAACCATTGGCTTCAAAAAATGAAAGAAATATTAATAAACCCCTTGAGCTTAGATTGTTAAAAGCTTAGCTGAACCTGAGTGAAATATGTAAAGAATAAAATAAGAATGCCTTCTGGAGACAACATTGGGTTTTTTTTTAGCGATTCTACTAAACAATCCCATTTACCGTAGATATTGGAAGAGTTCTTATACATACATGTAAGTTTTTCTTGACTCCACAGTTTGAGCATCGAGTGGAGTTTATTTGTTCATGCGTGAAAAAAGTGAGTTACTTACATATGTATATTAATTTTAATTTCTTTCTTCATTACAGATGAAAAGCCAGAAAACTCTGGAAAATGGATAGTTTCACTCCATCTACCTGCTAATGTAAAATTCGAATGGAAATGGGTAGTGGTATGGCGGAACACCCGCATCGCCTTCCGATGGGAGGAACGTCAGAATAGAGTAACAGAAGTCGGGGAACACAGCTTCGTGTGTCACGCCTACTGGAATTCTGATCCGACATACGAATTCCTACCAGAATCACCGAGTATGAACACGGACAAAGGTAAGGGGGCTAACACAGAGAAAAATACTTCAAGAGATTGTGTATCTTTTTTACTCTTAGAAGTTTTTTTTTATTTGTTTGGGAGGGGGGGGGGGGTAAAGGTCAAAGTAAGTCAATTCTTTGTTAGGTCCGGGTCACGTGAAAGGCATAGCCCTAAAAGATTTTTGTCTGTTTTAAAATTGTTAGTTGATACTCTAAGTCTTCACCCAGGGCCATTGAGCAGCGAGGGATTTTTTTTCTTCTGTGCCAGCACTTACTGCGACACAAGACCTCGGTTTATACGGTCTCATCCAAAGGACCAGTCTCAACTTTCCGTAGTAAGAATCGATCTTCAAAAGTTAAAAGTTAACGACCAACTTCTTACTCCGCAACTTTAGAGCAGACGCTCTAACCACTGCGCCTTGTGGCGACCACAATAAGTCAACCCGACAAACCCCAAATTATTGTGTAGAATGGCACAAACTATGTGCGGTGTACATGCTTTCATTTGTGTTTTTAAGTACACTTCTCACTTTACCATGGACTTTCAGTAGGGCGTGACATTTTCGGTGAGCACTACGTAATTAACGTCTGTCAAATGGCAAATAGATTTTCAATGGTTAAGAAATTAATAACATCAGGAACTTTAAAATTGTTGTTGTCAACGATGAGACGACTTAAGCCCCACCTCTCTGCCATGCGAGACACTGTTATTGGATATTTACTACACTCGTTGACATTCGCCCGAATTTCTATCCCGTGTTTATTTCAACAGTGAATGTCGGAAAGCTGTGTAAATTTCAGACGCTAATTATGTAACGTCGAGAATGCCACGCCTTAGTTACTGAAAGTCCAAGGTTAATTGAGAATTGTACGTACTAATCCTGGTCCGTTGTCCAATCTTCTTTTGGAATGTAATGAGCGGTGTCCTCACTGTCCTGTGGGTGTGCACAAAGATTTAGGGGTTGGTTATGTTATAATTATCACTGTAATTCCAGCTGAGTATACATATCAACTGCCTCAAACATTTTATGCGCAGTGGTAGTCAATGGTTGAATGTGATGAGATGCCCTGTAAATATATATGCAATAAGTTATAAGACTTTCCAGTTCACATCGACATAATCCCCATCCTTAAACTCTTTTTAATTTCTAAGAAGTAGACAAACCATCTTTCGATGATGAATTGTAGATGTACAATAAGGATCGAGAATTTTTCATCTCTACTCTGGGGGGCTAACTACCGGTAGGGGTCGAAAGATGACGATTTTTGACATCTTCCTCATACTCCTTTATATTTCAAAAAGTTTCCCCATTCATCTTTTGGAAAGTGATATGTGGTGTCCTTGTTATCACTGTGAAGGGGAAGCAACGTTTTATTTTCTGGTTTCCAGAAATCCTCTTAAATTTTTGGGACGAAAATGTATTTTTTAAAAGCGCAAAGCCATTTTTTTTTTTACAAAACTCTTATTAAAGAGAGAATTTATGCTTCATTACATTTTTCAGTTTCAATCGTTAATGAATTGATTTTGTGAATTATTTATATATGAGGCAGGGGCGGATCCAGGAATTGAAGTTGGGGGGGGGGGGGCGCAAGATTTAGGCAGGGGGTCTGGGAGCCGCCTTGAGGCCCCCAGTGGGTCCAGGGCAAAGACCTGGTGGGGCCCAGGGGGCGAAGCCCCCGGAAGCTCATGGATTCTAGAGGTTTTGTAGGGCAAAAATTAGGTCTACCGAGTAGACATTTTAAACATCTTCTCAACAAAACTATGTTTTATGCTAACTTTGACAATTTTAGGGGGGGTGCGCCCCCCTTAAATCCGCCACTGTGAGGCACGTGGGTCATAGGCTCGCCTGAACATTTGATGTAATTTGATACGTTTATGAGTATAATCTTTAGAATGCTATTTGGGCTTCTTCATTGAGCATAGACTTTTTAGGATGTTTTGGTGTTTTTATAGATGAACAAATTTTGAATCTAACTTTGTAGGTGATAACTGGACAACTGAAGATGATAAACAGTTAGAAAAGCTTGCCGATAATGAGACACTCGAGGATAAACAGAGTCACAAAAGCGTTTATTTTATTGCTAGTTACATTGGATACCTGGTATCGTGGTCACTGCAGAGTCTTAAAACCAAAGTGATGTCATTCTTTTATGGAGTGGGTGGACTTTTCCGGCGAAGCAATGCGCATGATCACGCCGATTAAACTTTATTTTTGCACACAATTCACGTATAGCTGTGATTATATCTAAATTGTGTTCACTTGTGCATACATGAATTATATCCATGTACATGTATATTTTTATTGCTTTATGCAAAAGAGAGGAACTGCTAATTTTATCGTCATTACCCATTAGAAGAGTATTTTTAAATATGAAGGTTATACCTAGTATTCAAATCTTGTCATATGAAATATAATTTATGTTCAAAAAAGTAAATAATGATTAACTTTTAACGTATTTATGCATTGAAGATAGATATTTGTATAAAGTGAAATAAATGACGATGAACATCATTTTCCCTTCTTGTATCATGTTTCTTTATTGTGATAAAGTATTAGTATCGTTTGACTACTTTATCATCAACTCGATGAATTTTGCCAAACTGTACATGGTCATGGGTAAAAAAAATTTGGAACAGTATCTATTCAACAGATTCTCAGTCTTATACATATACTTGTAACTCTATTTTGACAATTAATAGCAGTCAGAACTTGATTTCATTTTGTCAGTGAAAGATCGAGTTGTAGAAACTAGAGAGAACAAGATGTGTTTGTGAAACACTATGCATCCGGCGGCAACACCGTTCGAAAAAGCTATTAGCATATACATGTAGGTCACAGTCAAGGTCTAAAGGTCATTGGTCTTTATTGGTGTCATTTGATCACGGAAATTTTCTTATATTCTGATTGGTCATCTACTAACTTTTAAATTTTGTTAAAGATATTTTATTTTCTACACAAAAGTACGTTGATTCGGTATATCCAACTGAACTCTGAATAATATACCTCAGAGGATGATACATAATGGAGATGTACTATCATTCCATTAACAGCGTGTCACTTTGCTTGATCAACCGTGGAAAAAATTTCACAATTGATTACCATATCATTGATCGACTGGATGTTTGGTTTGAATGAAATCAATACTACTTTGCATATGAAAACAGAATCCAACAGTACCCCGATAACACTGACCAATCGAATTGAATGATTGTTTTCCAGCGCGGTATTTGTAGTCACCGACAACACGTGGACGGCTGCATTTCATTTCCGGAATTTTTGGTAATTATCATTTTTTCATTTCCGACATTTTTCATTTTTCATTTCCGACATTTTTTGTTTTCATTTCCGACATTTTTTCAAATACATATGTAGTACTTACAGTAACAGATTTGAATATTTTACGTATGAAAAATTTAAAGAAAAAAATCATAAATAAAAACATTGAAATCCATTATCTGAGTTTTGTAAATCTATCAATGACTTGGACATAAGTGTGGTGCTGTCACTGACATTTAATTTAGTGCACATTAGATGTGATGAAAAACTTTATGCTCTTCAAACTCTTTTATTTAGTGCTACGTGTATGCATATATGTGTAGATGTTTTTAATCAATATTCTGTAAGAAATACTTTTAAATTCCATTTTCACTTACATTGAATTGCCGCACAGGTAAATTCCGGAAATGAAAACAAAATTATGTCGGAAATGAAAACAAAAAATGTCGGAAATGAAATAAAAAAATGTCGGAAATGCTATGCATATTTCCGGAAATGAAATGCAGCGCTCGAGCGACGTGGACAGTCCAAGCCCGTTTACTGTCCCCCAAAAAGCACGTGTCATATTTGTTGCGATTTGAACGAATGGAGTTAATTTTGACCAATACGTATGAGAATATCTAAAAGGTTGATATAAGTAAGGTTGTACTTTGAAACTATTATAATATATATATTATATTGTGTAAAGCGATCAATTCCATCATTATAAAAACTTGCTTTGTCTGTCCACATGTGATTATTGTTTAATGCATTCCCGTGAACAACTCATTTAATACGATTGGTCAGTATTGTAAGTGGTATTGCTGGGTTCTGTATTTCATATGCAAAGTAGTTTTGCTTTCATTGAAATCAAACATCCAATCGATGAGTAATTTAAGGAATAACTGTCTTATTTTTCGAATTCATGAAGTGATCAATGGATTGGCTTGTGTGATAATTTGCATAAACGCCGAAGGGGTTTATGCATAAAATTATCACACAAGCCAATCCATTGATCATCTTCATGAATTCGAAAAATCTGACAGTTATTCCTTATATTTACATGCTTTGATTCCGCCAATCCACGGGCTCCAAGCCTGCTTCTCTCTAGGTGTTGTCCCGCCCTGCACGTGGTTTTTTTTGGAACCGCGCCAAGACATTCATGAGGAAATAAATTACATTTACAATTGGTAATTTTATCTCGGACAAAGACATTGGAAATGTAAATATATGGTAATCAACATGTGAAACTTGGCCACGCTCGATTGAGCAAAGTGACACGCTGTTATTGGAATGATAGTAATTAAGAATTGAAACAATACAAAGTATGGGAAGTGGAATCAGCCGAAGGAGTAAGTATCCCCTGTATACCGGTCCCACGTACCGTGTGCTCCTTGTCAGGGTCTGGCAAACAAAATTAGGCATAAACATCTTACAGTGAATGCATGTGAAAAGGTACATTGATAAGGGAAGATGAATATAAAAGAAGTCCTCCCGTTTTATCATAAACTTTTGTTGTCAAGTAAAATGTCTACATATGTATATACTCTTCTGTAGCATGATCTTACCTCTGAAGCTTTTTGATATCAAAGTTTGCTCTCTTCCCTGTATTACTAGTATATCATTGGATTTTTTTTTTAAATTTACAGTTCCTTATCTCCATATTTCATTATTTGTTTATGCATGGAAAACAATGGATAGTATTATATACTAGTATATATATGGAAGATAAGATAGTCTATCTTAATTGTCAGATATTTTTGATGAAGCTGTTGATACAATTTTGACTTTTGGCTATGAAATTTTGAGCTATCAATTACTAGTAAACGTTGACATCGTCAAACACACACAAGATTTTTCAAAAATGGATAATACATTTTTAAAAAAATGGATGGAAGAAGTGTTTTTGTTTAGTTGTTAAATAGCAACTATTCAAAGTTGAATGTGTTCAACGGATCATTGATTCCCAATTATAAGATACGTAGATATGCACTTTGCTAAATTTAGATTTATAAACCGAAAATACTGCTTGGAGTATCAGGTTACATTGTCACTGGTAATTAGTTGTACACTTTTGTTTCAACTAAGGAGATTAATTTATTCTTGATTATGATAAAAAGACCAAGAACTGTCTGTAGGCATTGTAAACATTCTACACTGTATTCTGCTTCAATGAACATGTATGTAGAAACTAAATAATGTGCGTATCTGTATATCTGCACAACCTCTTATATGTATTTTGAATATGCTTATTTTAGAAATTTCAATCAGAGTAAAATATTTGACTTCATCTAGAGCTTTTTACATAACCCATGTTGTGACGTGATGCCATTTTGTAATTTTGCATAAAAATTTTGAAACAACACTATATGTTGGTAAAGATCCTGACTCATCGATAAAGGTGCGGATATGACTTAACACTCTGTAATTTATTGTTCGTCGTTTGATTAGTTTCATTTGCTCGTTATGATTGCTGTACCATATTTGCTAGATAGAATGTTCTATCGTTAAAATGATATAGTCCTACGGACCCGGTTTAACCATAGGCGCTTGGGTCAAGGATACTGTATTTTTTCTATATAATGTATTGTCGAGGAAATTCCAACTCTACTCGTAACATTTTTTTCAGTGTGCAGTGTTAATATTTAGTTTTTTGTAAACCTTTCTGCTTTATAAACACTAGAATGTCGCAGAAATTCGATTTTTATACACGCTTTAAAAAAGACACATCCCACTGTATACTAAAAACGTTAATTTCTTTTTAGTATACAGTGGGATGTGTCTTTTTTAAAGCGTGTATAAAATCGAATTTCCGCGACATTCTAGTGTTTATGAAGCAGAAAGGTTTACAAAAAACTAAAAATTAACACTGCACACTGAAAAAAAAATGTTACGAGTATAGTTCGAATTTCCTCGACAATACATTATATAGAAAAAATACAGTATCCTTGACCCAAGCGCCTATGGGTTTAACGATAGAATCCGTTCCGTGTATTCGTAATGTAGCAAAAAGAAACACGGGCGATAACTCGCATAGTGCATTTACTAGGAACAATCTAGAGAGTTCCGAATGTAAATATGGCAGGTAATTTGAATGGAGAGAAAAACGTTGAGAAAATTAATTGGATTTTCGTATTTATATGGATTATTTTTTGGGACAAAAGGCATAAGCAATCTCAAAAAGGTTTGTTTTGATTATTTTGGTAGTTATTTCCAGTGCAAATCATTTTATATTCTTCAAAATCGTTTTGGAGCGGATCCGCTCCGATTTGCTATATTGCAAGTATATGGGACGTATTCTAACTGTGGTGAGGGCCTGTACCGAGACACAGTTAGATTATTCTAACTACATATTTGCTAGCCTTAACAGATGCAGCAATATCTGAATGGTTTTATATGACTGTGGAACAATGTGGGATGAATATCTATGGGCAGCGGAAAGGGCATCGTCGGAAACCCACGGGTGATCTCGTCTTTACTTATCACGTGATAAGTAAAGACGAGATCACCCGTGGGTTTCCGACGATGCGGAAAGGGCAAAAATTACCATAATGAGAAAACAAACAATTATTTTAATTTCAATGACCAGAAAAACTTAACAAATGATATATACAATGCATAATCAACAGACCTTTTCGCAGAACAAATATACATTAAAGCAAAACCAACGACCACGTACGTAACAAACATATATGAATGCAAAACCAACGATCATCTTTGCAGAACAAACGTACATAAAATCACAACAAACCAAAAAATCTTAACAAACATGCACGCGGTAAATCTAGTATTCCCGACTCCCGACGGTCCCGTTTTTTTTTTTTTTTTTTTTTTTTTTTTTGCGATTTTTTTTTTGTCGGTGCACAGAAACTCTTCAAACTTCTTAGGCACATTTTCTTTTTAAATGAATTCAATGATATGTAAACACTTAAACAAATTTGCGTATTTATTACTGAATCAGCAGTATCATCTGCCAAAAAGCGGTAAATGTAGTACTCCGTTATAAATATGTCAGAAAAGCAAAAACGGACATCGATGCAGAGAGACGAAAAGTGTCGTAGATATTAAA